GTAACATGTAGAGTTCATAAGCATCAACTTTGTAATGAACAGTTTGAATGTTTAGATCAGAGTGATGAAAATGCTGTGGAATGTAGTGAAATGACAGAAAATACCTGCATTCGTAGCTCATATAACAGAGATGGAAAGCCCACACGTCTACCAATAACATGGCTCAATGACGGTCTGGACGATTGTAAAAATGGAGAAGATGAAAAAGATTTATGGCCAGGGCCGACTTGTATAGTTGGCAGCTCTTTCAGGTACCTACCTTACGGTAGTGTCTGTGAGAACATCTTTTTGTGTGGTGTTGGCTCGACTGAATTTGTTAAAATTGAGAATCTGTGCATCGGACTGAACACTTGTGCAGCGGAAAAGTCAGTCTGTGAAACCACCCGACCATTCAAAGTAGTGATAAGCGAGGCCTACGAACATCAGAGAACCATTTTTAACATTATTACTGGGCCTCTAAAGAAATTTGTCTCTTATTGTTTACCTGGCGTCTCTAGAAGTATTGGGAACCAGATTTCCAAATGCTCGCATGAAATTTTTGAATTTCCAGAGGACGGTATCATCGGAACCACAGAACCGATGTTCATCATGTTACCTGGGAGCAGACATGTATGCAGCAGCTTTTATGGCGAACAATACGTTCTAATGGCATGTGAAAACAGATGCTTGGACTCATCCTGCCCCTTAAAAATTCTGAAGCCCAATGCATGTGCAGGGGACTACAGAGATACTAGAATATTCTCGATAACAAGAAGCGGCTCAAGTTTAACCTTTTTGATTCCTCAGAAAAACACCAAACAGAAAAACACCAAACAGAAAAACACCAAATACCTAACAGGCGAAGAAGTGATGCAGAATAAATTATACCAGTGCACGAATGACCACTGTGTAACTTACGATAAGGTTTGTAATCTGGTGAACGATTGCGGGGATAGTTCTGATGAGCACAACTGTACCAGTGTATTTTCCTGTGAATCTTCTAACGAGTTTATTCCGAGTTCAGAGAAGTGTAACGGTAAGGTACAATGCGGTGACTATTCTGATGAGTGCAGTGAGGACTGTGGGAAGGAAATCGTTTCTGGGATGGCTCTCAAGGTATTTAGTTGGGTCATTGGAATGACCGCGGTGATCCTTAACATTACCAAATTCATCGGTAACATGAAATTATTAGTCAGGGACAGAACATTCAACACAATCATTAACACATCATTTGGACTTCTTATCAACGTGGGAGACTTTCTTACTGGGTCATACTTGCTATCCATCGCAATAGTGGATACCATGGTGTATGGGAGAGGGTACTGCAAGCAACAATACATATGGTTATCCAGTGGTTTGTGTTCTTTTCTCGGTGTCATCAGCACATTTGGAACACAGATATCACTGTTCTCTATGACAGTTTTAAGCATTTATCGGTTGTCTGAAGTTTTGGATTTAAAGGTTGACAATTTAAGACACTTATCTATAAAAATCGGTGCGATAATCACGACAAACATTGTTTTAAGTCTCACGATGGCTATTAGACCAATCATTTCATCTTACGAGGACTTGTTTGTAAATGGAATGACGTACAACCCTAAAATAAAATTATTTCTTCCTTATGTCGATAAAGAAACTCATCTGGGCATCATCAAAAGTTATTACGGTAGGATAAAAATGGACCGGCAGTTAAAATGGAAACGCGTTAATTCTCTTGTCGATGAGATGTTCACCAAAGACTATGATATTGGAACACTTGACCGGAGAAAAATACATTTTTACGGCAATGACGGCGTTTGCCTCTTCAAATATTTCGTGGACAAAAAAGATCCACAAAACGGATTTGTTTGGTCCTGCCTGGGAGTTAACTTGTTCTGCTTCTTTATAATCACCTTCTGCTATGGGATAATAAATGCAAAATCTAAAAGTTCGACTCAAAATGTAGAACAAGTTAATCAGGCAAAAGAAAGAATATCAAACACTAAGAAGAAAAATCAACTTCAAAGAAATATAGCAGTGATCATATTAACAGATTTTCTGTGCTGGGTCCCATTCATTTTCATCTGCGGGCTGCATTCACTGGAGTTGATCAATGCGGCATCAACATTCCCCATATTTTCTCTTCTAATACTCCCTATCAACTCAGTTATAAACCCACTCCTATACGGTGACTTTTTGGAGAAACATATTATCGAAAGAATAAAAAGAATCAAATTAAGACTCCAGAATGCTGTAGGTATAAATACTGCACCAAAAGAAGCCCCAATTGAGGAGATGGAACTATCAGTTATTCAAAACAGGAGGATCCCTCAAGAATCAGCAATTAATTACAGTTAATTATATTGTACGAATTGGTATTAGTGCTAACAGAAGTTTGATCGGATCTAGAAATGTTGTGAAAATTTATTGATATGTTATTGCAAAGAGTCGAGTAGCCGTATAATATATTAGTATTATTATATATATATTAGTATACATGTTATATATATATTCGCATTTAAAACTGATTCCTAATCTTGTAAATACGGTGATGATATGAAGACATTTCAATGATGTGATTAATTTTAAGTTAGCCTTGAAAATCAGATAGATGAGCATAAATCACGGTATTAAAATATACTGAGATTTTATTCCATGTGCCACCTTTTTTTTAACGTGTCCCCATGGCCTTTAATACCGCACTTTGATAAAGTGTACTGTGGGTTGTGGTTAAGGTTAGGGTTAGGGTGGAGGAAGCCGGGATTATTCTAGGTCAGTCTTTGTAAATTGCAGAATTAGGGTATTTAATCATGGGTAACAATGAGGTATAAAAGGTGAAAATGAATTAAATAAAGCAAATTTCAGTCAAAGACGCCAAAAATTACCCTCCCGCTAACCGAAAACGGGGCGAGAAATAATTATTTTGGGCTTTTTTGACCCTAAACCAAGTTATTTTTTCATTTTGGAGGTCCCTTTACCTAAAAAACAGGGCCGCTTAAAAATTTGGAAAATTTGCATTTTCATGCCCACCCCTATTCATCTGTGTTTTAGGGTGCCCGGTATTTTAGGGTTATGATCTTGTTTAAAGTATGATAGTGACAACAGTCAATATGATGATGCTTGAATGATGTGATTAATTGGAATTAATTAATTACATCAATTAATTAATTAATTGTATTAATTAATTGTATAAATGTTACTGAAAGGTAAATAGAGAAGCACACTGTCACTATAGATATGATTATATTCTATATAATATAATATAATTAATACCGCATTGATAATTGATATGTATACATTTTCGACTTCTAATGTGATTCTTTCCATTATGATGAAATATCGTGTTTGATTAAAAGATTCAATTTTTTCCTTTTCACCCTTTTGAAAAAAGGCAATAGTGAAAGGTTACGAATGGAGGTTTTTGCAGAAAAACGTGGATTTTGGGGATTGCAGTAGATGGGTCAAATATATGTCGTGTTCCTTGCTTACTTACTTACTTACTTCCGTTCGTTACCATGTCAACTTGCCGCGCGCACGCGCGCGAGGATTGCTTGCGGAGATGTGGTGTATAGCTAGTCTGTGGTCAATGAATGCGCGGCACGAGCGTATTTCAATGTATACTAGTAATGTATAGTATTTTGTAATTAGCCCAACTTGAACGTGGCACGCGTAGTGTACTGATGTTTCAATATTATTATTATAAGGTGAGCTGATTAGAGCTTATATTAATAGTTATAGTGAAATGGAAATCTAGCGTCCGCCAAAACGAAACAACGGGCGCAATTCTTGTTCAACCAAATAATATGATCCACGAAAATTAAATCTCGAAAAAAGACAGTTTCACAAAATATCTCGTTCTGCATCCAAATTAAAAGTAAAATGTATCAGAAATCGACGCATATTTCGAAATCATAACTCACTAGGTAACCTACCTATGTGACCTATGTTGAGTTTCGTCAAGACTTGACGGGGCCATCACATCTTCTGACCACCCCATAGCGAAGTAGAGTCTCGCTCGTTGCGCCAGCACAGCAGAGAGTTCGTATTTGGAGGAGTATATCCCCTGATCGGCGGCTTATCAGGGAGAGACAACATGAACTTTGTGAGCTTATCTTTGAAGTGCTCTAGATCTTGAATGACATTCAGATGGTAGGGGATTGCATTCCACAATTTAGGTCCCTGAACTGCAAATGAGTTGTCAAACAAGGTGAGGTTTGCTGTTGAACTGGTTCTACGTTTTGATGGAATTACTGCAAGGTTTCCAAGCCTTGGGCGTGAAACAAAGGTACTTTATATCAATCTTACTATATATAAAGCGAGACGATATATATGGATGTGTTTATCCGTACCATTTTACTGACACCACGGCATCAACTTTAACGCGACTTTCCGCAAAAACCGTAAAAGATATACAACTGAAACTTTTTTTGACTGGGTCAAATGCTTTAATGGCCTCCAAATCAGCATGAAAAAATAAAAAATTGGCCAAGGAATAGGAGTTTTAGAGCCCAAAATTTGGACCCCCAAGTGGTGTCAAAAACGCAAATTAAATAGGTATAATTATTTTAGTCTCTTGAGTCTTGACACCATTTTAGGGTTATACGGGTTCCTGCTAGTATTCCTAAACTGCATGATGTATGATATATATATAATATATTGTATTTACTATATATAATATATTGCAGTTTACACAGTACACACGCATACAAGTTACACGCAGCAACAGCTGCTAGCTCGTAAAAAGTGTTGAGGTTTACAGACTAACATGGCTACACTTGCACTAACCTGGTTACACTGGCTACTAAAATGGTAACTGACTTAGTTACTTCCTGGTTACCTGGTTACACTTGTTACTGACTTAGTTACTGACCTGGTTACACTGGTAACTGACCTGGTTACACTGGCTACTGACCTGGTTAAACTGGCTACTGACCTGGTTACAACTAACCTGGTTACACTGGCTACTGACCTGGTTAAACTGGCTACTGACCTGGTTGAACTGGTTACTGATTTGGTTACATTTACGTGCCGTGGTTACTAACCTGGTTACACTTGCGCAGCACGCAGCTCTGGCGCCGACTGTTAGTCCCCCCAAACTGTCTCATGTCCTTGCAGTGGGCACATTTCCCACAATTCTCCCGCACGCAGTTCTCACACTTCTTACATCTCACAAGCTTCTCCTTGTACTCCCCGATTCCCAGATCCTCCCAGGCCCGCTCGTCTGATGACGTCATGGGACTTAGCGATGACGCCACTAGGCTTGGTGGTGACGTCACTAGATTTGGTGATGACGTGGTGAGGTTAGGCCGCCTTCCGACGTCTAAGCGAGGTTGTGTTGTTATCATTGATGCAGGTGTTTCTTTTTCCTCGACAACTACAAGGTCCGGCATATCAGGCAGTGTTCCAGATTTCTTTTTGCGCTGAAATCAAATAGTTAAGTGCCTTCATAGCCAAATCCAATATCATTTTAGGATGCAAACCCATAAACCCATAATGTTAAGTTAACAGAATTTGAAAATGAAAGTGAAATTTGATTAAATATCAATTATTGTTACAGCTTGATAGTTCATAAGTGTACCTTGGGGTTAGGTCTGCCATTCAATGTAGGTAGGAATTCTCCAAGTCTGAAGTTAAAGTTAGACAGATCCAGGGAGTCCCCGACAAGCAGCTGAAGTTCAGGCTTGGACCGAACCTTTACTCCACCAGGACTGAGAGTTATTATATTTCACAGTACTATATTTCAAAGTACTACCTTACAAGACATATTTATGTGGATCATAATTAGCGGGGATCAAAATTATGGGGGAACGAAAATATGGGGATTTTTTTCAGAAATTTAGTAATTCAGTACGAAATTTCAGAAATTCAGTACGAAAATATGGGGATTTTTTCCCATTTTTTCCAAAAATCCCAGAATTTCGTACCATATAAATATGTCTCGTAAGGTATATTATATATAATATACTTTACTGGAGTATTAGATCTGTGCTTTACACATGGGTGTAATTACGGAAATTAAATTGTTAAGCTTACAGCTTTGCAACAATTACATTCACTGTTATCACTGTATTGTTTCTTCAACATAGTCAACCCACTGTGCATATTTCAACAGGAAATTCAACTGGCAGTCTGCCAAAAATTAAAAACTTACTGTAGAACTCACCTAATGTAATAGATGTCATATCTACCGGCACTCAAACCGTTTCTTCTCATAACTTCTTTTTTAACCCAACCTTCTCCCAAGATCGGCCACGGGCTCGTATCTCCGTTCTAATGTTGAAACATAAAGCATCTCGCAGCGTGGCATGACTTAGCGAATTCAGAAATATTGAAAGGAACAGCACATAAACTAGTACATGATGATGAATCAACCTAAGGTGAGTTATATGCAGCAATTATCCTTACCTTGATGGTAGGGGTGGCTTGAAACTCAGTGGTTGTTGTCTTTAAACCGAGTATGAGAGAGGGAGGTACAATTAAGTTAGGTCGTTGGGCGAGAGTAATACTCAACATGTCACCAGCTGAAACCAGTGAAGGTAGGGAATCTATATCTTGGAGAGATTCTCTCTTTGGTAGTACTTCTCCTGAGGGGGTTTTAGTTGCGCATTTGGGTGGGTGGCGTGAAATGCATTATATTGTAATAAAAAACGTGCTTTCAAGTCTGAATGTGTTAAAATGTCCAATCAAGCTTTGCTAGACGTATTATAGTACAAACTTACTTTTCCCACAAAAATCCGTAACAGCAGGGTCGACCCAACTTCTGCCGCCCCAAGCAGCCTCGATTAGCTTTAAAGATGGCGGTCTCTGACGCGTTGGTCGATTGCTCTGTGGTGGGGAATTTGAGTTCAGCTTTTCTGGCGAAGTGCTGCCGCTAGAAGTGTGAATTTCAATGTCGGTCTCTTTACTGCCGGTGGACGCATTGCCATTTTGACGGTGCTCTTTTATCGTTGTTGAAGGTTCACTGTCTTGTGTATGATTTTTGTTTTTAGGAGATTCTCCTTCCAATGATTGTTGATCTGGAATTGTTGACGGAGAAGCATTGGATATTTCTCTAGTCTGATCGCAGGTACTGATGTTCTTTTCTTGGCTTAAAGTTGAATTTTCTCCACTGATATTCGGTACTGTGTCTTCCGACACATTTTCTGACAAAATATCACTTGAAGAATTTGTTTTATTAGAAACATTTTCTGAACTGTTGCTGATCGTGTCTTTATTAGCATCCTCGCTGTGAACAGCCAAATTACCGTTCGTTACATCAACAATATTATCTACATTCGGCAAAGCATTATTTACAACATCATCATTATTAATTACAAAATTCTGTTCACTTTCATCTGACCCGTCAGTTTTACTCAGATTGCAGAACCGTTTCACAGCGTCCATTTCTTCCAATGAATTGTCGTTTGAACTGTCATCGTCTGATCTAAAAACATTGCTCTGAGTGTCTGAATTTAGTGGTTTGTTGAACTTAGAACACGGGTACACAGACTGAGGATATGAGATAAAGTTTTTAGATTTTGACATATCACTGAAAAAGGAGGGGTCTGCTTTCTGATATACCTGGGACATTCTGCAAGGTCGGGTTTAGGATTAGATAATAGAATATACCATGTTTGTAGCTACTGATGAAATATGAAATTTGAGTACAAACTTTTACAAAATATTATGTCAGTGTAGACTTTTTGTCTCAGTTTTCTGTTTCAACAGTCAACACGATTACATAATATTTTGTGAGAGTTTGTATTCAAATTTCATTTTCAGAATATTAAATGAAACATGTTTTCCATTCTAAAATCAATATAAATATTTAAAACAACCCATCTAGCTGCAATTCATGTAGACGGGTCATAATTATAAGTAAATCTGAAGCCGTGACCTATTATTTGCATTCTCCAGCTTTACTGCGAGGAACGTTCAATATAAAACAATTTATTTTTCTTCAGCATGGTGTTTGAATTAAACATGGAGATTAAGCTGGGAATCGTTGATCATTGGCAGTCGAGTCTCCGTGATTCTAGAACGGAAAATAGTGGGAATCAGTGGTCCCAGAGCAAAAATGAATTCGGTGCTGGCATAATCATCCATTTTGAAATATAAGCTGAAATATGAGGGACTAGCTATAACAAACATTAGCTAATCGATTCGAAGCTTCAAATGGCACTTCAATAAATGGGAATTCAACTTCTACATTGATGATACTACATTGATGATACTATACTGATGGCGAGTGAAATCTTTACTAATAGCAAGAGAAAAATAATTTCTAAGAAGGCAATGAAATTTACCAGTTCCATAATAAATGAAAACAGATATTTAAGACACAACTTTTTATCAATATCATCGAACCAACATTCGCTAAAATAGCATTCAAAACTGAAAATAAATGCCACAATCACAAATCCCCATGTCCCCTAATAAAAGTCAAGACTTTCTGTTCTATATGTTTTGAATATCTGTCCAGCAGAGTCAAACGAAATACAACTTCACAACAGAACATGAGTGACGCAACTGCAAGATATTACTGCACAGTCACCGCTACACTGTGAAGTGTCATGCAGCTCAAATTCAGCACTAAGGTGCCGACTGCACAGTAATATGAAGATTTAATTGTAGCATGAGAGTACCAGTACTGTTTACATACACTCAAATTCTTTTTAATTTACATCCTATGAGATAATTCTGCCTTGTCAAATGAGAGCACAAATTTGATAAAAGGAAATTTTGTAGACGTGATAGTAGTTCCAATCTGTTTAACAAAAATTTACAAGAATAAAGTGGAGTTAAAATTCGTCAAAGGTTCCAAATGTGCTATGTGCATGTGCAATCAATTAATTTGTCGAACTCCAACTTCAACAAAAATGAGTTTTATAATATTATGTACAATGTTAAACATTAATTCGGAATATAACGGACACTTCAACATCGCAATAGTTCAACAGTTCAACATAATTCAACCCCCAAATTACGGCAAACCACCGCTCAACCCCAGCTTTTTCTTGTCAGCCATTTCGTCCAGACCTGTCTTGCTCTCCGTTTCGTCTTGCAACATGTCCTGAGCTGCTATTGCTTTTAGCACGCTTTTTTTACTCGTCTCCTGTAAATAAATAAAATTGATACACTCAGGACTCACCCTATTTTACAAGAAACACTGTTATAATATTCACATTTAATATGCAAACCAATACAGATAAAACTTATAACTTGGCATACATATCTACAATATATCTTAAATGAAATTCCACATCAGATAAATTTTAAAAAGCCCGTTTAAAAATCCATGCAACAAATGTTTGATCACCAATTAATTAATTAACAACCACTTAATTAAGTTGTAAATACCTGCACTTCACCCGCTATCAGCAGTTCATCAAGGACAAAGTATGCTTTCTCAAAGTTGAATATGATATCCAACTCGCAAACACTTCCAAAATATTTGTCCAGCAGCTCCACATATCTGGAATATTTAGTTTGGTAAACCAGGTATTCAAAGATTAAGGTTTGGGTGTAAAATACTTTAAATGTCTAAGTTTAACAAAGACTGCCAAACGAGTGTTGAGGAATTAAAACGTATGTATTGTGAACCTGTTACAATTATAATAACGGTAAGGCACATACTTGAGATCAGTGTACCTCAAATAATGGCACATGAGCTGTACTTATACCTCAAATAATGGCACATGAGCTGTACTTATACCTCAAATAATGGCACATGAGCTGTACTTATACCTCAAATAATGGCACATGAGCTGTACTTATACCTCAAATAATGGCACATGAGCTGTACTTATACCTCAAATAATGGCACATGAGCTGTACTTATACCTCAAATAATGGCACATGAGCTGTACATTGACTGTTGCGATCAAAATTAAGTCACAGATAATTATAAGAATATCCAAAAAGAGCTGTAATATCACCCAAAATCTACAAAAAGCTTCATCAACCATCGACATCACCCCAAACCTGTGAATAATCTCCAGGGTGAGCAGCTCATTATCACCACTATCAATAGCCACACAGAAGAACAGACTAGCGTATCTCTTGTACACAATCTTCTGATCTCTGTACTCAAGGAAGGAGCACATCTTGGGTTTACGGGACAGTATCATCGTTATAAGCTCACGTGTTGTCCTGCGCTTGGCTCTCATGTCGATTGGGTTGTACCACTTTTGGAGACGGAGTTTGCCTTGTCGGCTGAACAGCAGCATGTACTGAATCATCGTGTAGCTAGCTAAAGAGTTAATTATTATTAATTAACTAATTAATTAATTAGATAGCTAAAGAGAGAGTAGAGTGGTAGTGAAATCTTGTTGCTAGATACAGGTTGTATTCACAAGATGAAATTTATTCACTGATTCAAATTTACTTAATTAATGATTAACAATAAATATGAATTATTTCCTAGAGTAAAATATTTATGTGTAACCATAATTTTCGTTAATTCACACGACATGAAGCAATAAAGCTAAAGGGCTAAAAGTATCACTGCAATACTTATCTGTTATCAATATCACAAATACTTTAATACAAACACTTCGTCGTTACTCGTTTCTAGCTTATTTGTTAACTCTAATTTAACAAAGTTAAATACAAAAAGTTATGATACAAATTTTAAAACGTGGTTTTCGACTGTCCCATTCTCTTATTATCTGTAACACAGCAACAAAGTTCATCCTCTTAATTCATCATATCAATCAAACAATTATCAGCTAACTTGAAGCGTTATCGATCAGTCCTTCAAGTAAGGAGCCTTAACAAGGAGCCTAAATAAGGAGCCTCAATAAGGAGCCTCCTTCTTCTTCAACTTGAACTTCTTATTCTTCTTCTGAATAAACTGTTGCTCGCTCTCAACATCGCTCTCCGTACTGTTACTGTTAACAGCAGCAGCTGAGGTGACCGAACTCTTACTGAACAACCTCTCTGACTCCTTGAACTTCTTATCTCTCCTTTCTTTGTTCAGCACGTTGTTCTTGGTACTGAGGTACCCGTCCCAACCTCTTATGATGTTACCGTAATGTGATGTGTCCTCTAGGTAGCTCCCTTCAAAAAGGTAGATTTGTCGCTCCAGGTTTATTAGGTTTTCTTCTAGTTCTTTCTTTTTCTGGAGACACTCTGCGTATTCTAATTTGTCTTCACTTGATATGCCCGGCATTGCGTTAGACATGTATTGTGTACCTGCTTGATAATTCTTGGTTACGAACGAAGAAATTATCATTGAGAACACTTTATTATTTATATTTCGGCAAAATATTTTACTTTCGGCAAGATGTATTTTTTAAAAACCTTGAAATAAAAAAACTCCACTCTCTAATTATAAATAGTATATTAGAATAATGTTATTCTTACCATATAATATAAATTCATCAAATACTAAAACTGTGAATTAACATGATGAAATATAACAAAAGTAAAAACGGAAAAAGGTTTTAAAAGATTAAAAGGCGCATCCAGCATCATACAGTCATATTATGCAAGCAATAGATTATTATAGATTCAAGCTTCAATGGTCCTGCCATGAGGTCGCCGAGTAAACAATAATTTTTATTAAGAGCGGGAATGATTTACCAAGTCACAGATAACACACGCCAAGAATGGGCACTTCCCCTCCAGGTGCAAATTTCAATAGAACTCTCAGTCATGATTAAATAAGCCAAGAACACCGTAACAAAGTTAACCGAAAAATCAAACCCAGGTTTAGCACCAAATGGATAGAGTGGGATATAACTTCAGTGCTCCAACAGTTCCACAACTCCCAAAATGACAATATCACCTATAATTTCCCCTACTCCATATCATCACCCTCGTCATCAGGCAGTATGTTGACATCTGGGAGCAGCTCATCCTCCTCCATCTCCTCCTCACTCTCAGCTCCTCCTCCCTTCTCCATACTGACACATTCCTCCCCTATCAGGGTCGCTACTGACACGGGGAAACAGGACAGGTCCTTTAGGTTTACCAGGACTACCTGTTAGGATATGGTTGGTAAGTGTGGGTAGATGTGCTGTTTGGTATTATGGTTAGGGAGACTAGAGAGAGACAAGGAATTTAATGTTATTTTTGTCAGAGTGAAAACGTGTTTATAGGTCCAGTACAACGACGTCTTCTAATCTAATATATTGCAATGTAAATACTTTCTAGAACTCATGAAGTTAGAAGATAGGGCAAAACTCTACCCAGGGACAAAAGGATTTCGCAGTTATTTTGGCCAAAAATCGCGATACCGCGAATTACATTTCGCGGTATATTAAACTATACATAAAATTTGTCGCAAATAATGGGAAAAATCGCGATTCCGTACATGCCGCGATTTTCTTTTGTCCCTGACTCTACCTGATTAGAGTCGAAGAATTTAGGGACGCTGACAACCAGAGTCTTCTGACCCTGATCTCCTTCGCTCATCTTCGCATCAAACTTCCTCTGGTTCCCCACAAAGTAAACATGAGGACAATCTCTCAGGATAAAGGGATCCTCCTCGTCGTACGGGTAGCATCCTAGCGTGTCCGGACATGTTGGGGCAATGTGACGACACTTCAGGGTAGTTTCAGCTATCTTTACTGAGTCTCGGAGTTTTGTGTATTGTTGGATGTTCTGGATGTTCTGTCCGGAGGTGCCGAGGAAGGAGATTCCGTCGATGTCAGCTTCGTAGGGGTTGGTTACACTTTGGAATGAGGTGTATTGGGCTGCCTGAAATGTACCATTTTACGGAAGCTGAAAATATGTATATTTAGTTCTGAGTCGATTTAACTAATTTAAACTATTGATTAACCACAATATAATCTAAAACTAATATGAGAGGCATTATTTGTAAACGGTAGTCTCACACTGACCTGAGGGAAAATACAGCGATGTAGAGGTTGTTGCGGTAAGGAAAAGGAGGCGGGATCAAACTGGCCTGGCATCAAATCCACAAAAATACAGCTCACAAGCTGTGTCAGAACATCGTCTAGTTCTTGTGCGGCGGAGATACTGGCTGCTTTGGTCTTGGTGGTGAGGTACTTGGCTTGTTTAGCTGAGGTGGAATCTCTGGTGTGTTTACTGAGTGAGTCTCCCGCCACTATCAACCTCACTACTTTAGAGTAGAATGTTTGGTCTTTGAGGGAGCCTAGTTGGCCTGTGACGAGGTCTACGAATAATTGGAGTGGCATTGGATCGTATTGGGGGTCTCCGAGGGAGATTCCACTGATAATCGCTACATACCTGAAGGAATCATTATTATGCGTTATATGTAACAAGATATGTGCGAACAGTTTGCATCGGAAATAGGAGACAGTATTTGGCAAAATTATTTTTAAAAATCTCAAAAGCCATAAAACCCATTATAAGGAGAATATTATGCACGAAACCCAATTTAACACCCACCTATCATCTGATACAGGTTCACTAAGTTCTGAGTTCAGCTGAGCTGGTAACCCACAATATGACCATTCCTCAACCTCAAACTTGCCTCCTGCTGTCTCCTTCCCTTTAGCACAGATCACAGTCCCGGTAATGGCATCATGTGTCTCGTGGTTCCCTATCAGGGTTATTCTCTGGGTCTCATCCTCAAGGAAAACTAAGTCTGTTTGGTGGGTGTATCTCTTACGTTCTGGGAGTGGTTAAGAATTAAGGATATTCTAGTGATTCATAGGAAGTGTCGATCAAATGAATGGATTACATTAATTACATTAATTAATTAATTACATTAATTACATTGGATATAGCACATTACATTGGATATAGTATGTTACATGTGTCTTCAAAATAGCATTATTCCAAAAATTCAAAAACAAGCCCAATCACCTCTGCGAGCATTAAAATTAACTCAATTAATTTACCAGGTTTGGGGGGAAGGTTAACGTTTTCACTGAGTTCACGCAGAATATTGGGCTTTAACTGCATCTGCTTGAAAATGGTCCCAATAATAACACAAGTCTTATTTTGCTGCAGATCATTCAACTGAACTTGAGGCACATCAAACCATTTATTCCTGGCAACCGCCTCCAACATTGGTCTCATGACAGCTAATCTGGCTGCATAGAGGGGTGCATATTGTCTTTTTAAAACACTTGTTTCTCAACTTGAACCGTTCTGATAGATTTGTGTAGTTGCCATGGAGACGGTCTATGGGGTCTGGAGGTGTGGTGGTTGGTGGGGAGATGAGGTGATCTGATTTTATATCTGCTGTCAGGTGGGAAACTACTTCTGTTGTAGGTAAAATCATCTCTCCCTAACAAGATAATTCGGTTAGCGAGAATTAAATAAAGTGGTTGAACCCACCACGCCGCCACATTTCAAATTGTGACGAGATTTGTGAGCAGCGTTTAAAATCTGGAATTCATAGGCATCCAAAGAATAGTGAAATTGCGAAAATTAAATTTTAAGTTACGAGAGAAGAGGCAGATTGGGTTGATTAAATTACAACAGGTGTCTTGAAAAGAAGTAAAATGGTTTAGACCTAGTCTAATGGTACTAAACTAATTTTTAATTAACGTAATAATCTAGTTAAACATTTTCTCGACAACCTTTCAATTTAAAATTTTAAACGTATGACTTTTCACCACTTAACTTTTCTCCATTTTGTAATAAATCATCTAGTTGTGCGTTCATACTTTGTTCTTGATACTCACTTTATGTGAAAAAATACCTTTAGCAAAAATACCTTACAGGACATATTTATGGCGGCCTAATTTGCGACGACCGAAATTTTGGCGGTCTGAAAATATGACGAAATTGAACAAAAACCGTCAAATTTCGGACGTCACAGAAAATAAGGGTATTTTTCATCATTTTTTGTGACAGTAAGCAGTAAGGAAATTTCTGAAATTCGGTAAAATCATGTTCAAACTTAGTCTGTATTAAGACTGTAAGACTTTCATGTTAGCACATACATGTATTTTAATGCAAATTTAAACTGTATTGCTTGACATTCAATTCGTCATTGGTGTGGTGATAATTTGTCCCAAGATGCCAGAATTTATTTATTTATTTTACTTGATATTACTTTTTAGAAACAAAATAAAGCAGTGAAGGCACAGTCATTGAAATAAGCTAAAAGATAATGCGACGGATTCTATTACGACGACCGAAATTTTGGCGGTCCGAAAATATGGCGAAATTTTCGGAAAACCGCCACATTTCGTACGTTATAAATATGTCTTGTAAGGTAACTAGATAGGTACGGTGCAAATTCAATCCATACCAACAAACTTTTAACGTTTTTTTTCCAAATTTTTAAACAAAAACACTTGCAAAAACACTAATTGCAAAAATTTAAAACTTATTACATCATTGCAATTGCCAAGTTAACAAGTAAATCCGACATTAAGAATAAGATGAAGTTTTTGGTGTTTTGTGCCCTGTTTGGAGCAGTATTTGCCCACACTTGGATGAGTTGTCCTTGGTCTTTTGATGTCGACCCTGGCAGGCCAGCAGATACAGGTTTGGAATTTTGTTCTTAATTTTCATAATTATTTTCACTTTATAATTTTTGATTCATTTTATGTGGTACTAACTTGTAACTTGTTTTATGTGGTACACCCTGTATATGAATACAAATTATACTGACATTTTAAGCAGCAGTTTTTAATGCATGGGTACACAAAATGTAGATCTTGATAATTTTTGACATAACATCACACTAAATAACAGTTGGACCATGTGAAACTGAGAATGTTTGGCACGGCGTGAAATACCCAAACGAGTATAAAGCTGGGGAGAGAATGAAGGTTGGCTGGACTAGTAACAACCATGCTGGAGGATGGGTCAGGATCGCTCTTGTTCCATATGGACAGCATAAAACACACAAGTCTTTTGATGACAACGTGATGAAGGTCACTTGCTACGGACACGATCAGCGCCCAGGTAATAGCCAAATAAATAATTACACACAAATAATATAAACATGATAAATAGAACCACCAAACTTTAATACATGGTAAACCAGCATTAACCTTTTCCTGGATATGACTAATATAATATAAACAATTCGACTAGGACAAACTATCTATGGAGACTGCAAGCATCCCTGTAATGCCCGTGCTGGGTGTGAATACCAGGCCTATGAGGAGGACAATGCTCGGTTTGACACAACTGTCAAAATCCCCCACAATTTGGCTGATGGAAACTACGTTTTACAGATCAAGAGTGCAATGAGCTCACATCCTCACTTTTATTACAGTTGTGCTAAAGTAAAGGTAAGGAAACATTCAGCAAATAAGCCTACAAAGGTAACCAAAGGTTGCCAATGAAAAACACCCAACAAAAATCTACCAAAGTTTACTAAACACTTAACTACCCCAGGTCACTGGAGGTAATCCAAGTATGAAGTGTCCTCAAAGCAAACTTATCGTTGTCCCTCACTGTCTCAAAGGTACTGCAGTGGCACTGAAGGAGTACACTAAAAACTCTAAACCAGCTCAATTCTGTTACAAAGAAGATGGCCCTGGGTAAATACACTTTCTATATAACCATGGTTTTCATCAATCAATTTTTATCAGAATCAATGTACAACTGCACATGCGCTGCTAGAGTGCACCCAAACATGTCCCTCCATCCAAGTTAGATACATGCTCCAGGAAACATCTAAGGAAGAAATTGAACCATAATAGATGAGAATAGTGTAACATGTTTAATTATATACATTACAATACAATTTTCTCCAAGCTTTGCTTTTACATCTTTTAAGATCTATGGAAGAGTTAGATTACAGTGTTATATAGATTAATAACCTACTTTGACAGGTACATTGATGCTGACATGTATCGTGTTCCCAAGAACGTACAATGTGACCCAAGGATCACTTGTGCTGTCAGCATTGACGGAAAGGGCTGCAAGAACCAGCACAAAATGAAAAGCATCACCAATGATTGGAAACCAGAGCAAGTTTGTGGAGAGGTAGGATAGAAATTAAATTTCTAATACTGAGCCAGTAATATCATTTGTTCAGTAACTACAAAAAACAGTTGAAAACTGATTTAATCTATGTTACACATACATGTTACATGGTAAGGTCTCCTCCTAGTCGTTGGAGTGGCCTGCATCACACACATCGCGTTGGCGGCGTAACATATGTCTCCACTGTACTCGATTGGTAGCCAAAGCTTCTGTTGTGTCGTTGTCGATGTTTTCAACACCTGTAAACTTAGCAGCATCTTCGAGTACGCAGGACTTCCAGTTCTTACGGGGTCTGCCCCTTGACCTCTTTCCATAATTTGGCTTCCAGTTTAACAGAAACCTCGGTAGTCTAGAGTCTGGCATTCTAACTACATGTCCATACCAACGTAGCCTGGCAGCACTGATGAAAGTCTCAACTGACTTGATGCCAGCCCTCCTAAGAACTTCGTCGTTGGTCACATGAAAGAACCATTTAATCCTAAGGATCCTTCTCAAGGAGGTTTGATGGAAAACCTCGAAGCGTTTCATCTGCTTTTTGGTGGTGTTCCAGACTTCAGCTCCATACAACAAGATGGTGAGGACAGCAGCCCTATAGATCCTGATCTTGGTTGGAGTCTTTATAGTTCTGCTATTCCAAATGTTCCAGAGCTGATGAAAGGCGCCATTAGCCTTCTGGATACGGACATCCAGGTCTCTGTTGATTGTCCCATCCCCACTGATAGTTGCACCCAGGTAGACAAAGTTGCTAACCTGCTCGACGGGTTCACCCTCAACCGACAGCTCAATAAATCATCCTTGATGAAAGGTCGCTGGGAGGCGCACTTGCTTACAGCCATGCATTGGGTCTTCTTTGCATTTATTCTGAGCCCAGCATAGGGGCTGTAATGAACTAATAGATCAGTTGATTCCTGTAGGCCTTCCCCTGAGTTGTCCATAATAGCCATGTCATCAGCATAATCGGTGTCCAGAATGACCTTTTCCTCAACCATCTTCATCTCTTTCTGCAGCACTGCGCCTTGACTGATGATCTTGTTGGTCTCAGCCAGAAATGCAGAAAAGTTTAGGCAGAAATTAAAGACAGGAGGTGCTTGAATGTCACCCTGACCTGTGCCTGAGTTAACATCAAACCAGTCTGTCAGCTCCCCATTAACCCTCACGGCACTCATGGTACCTCCAAGAAAACAACAAATTTTTTCAAGAAAACAACAAATTTTTATTTAAATCAATTATAGCAACAATTTGAAAAACTTTAAAGCTCTTCTATTACCATGGAATATACTACGGGTATGGTGACTTGGGCTATTGAGTTGTTAAGTAGATTAAGATTAGTAAACCTGCACTTGCATTGTATATTTTATAAAAACTAGAAATTAGGCTTCACGGTAAAATGGAGAAGCAGGCTGATCTTGGAGAGAGCAGACCGTAAAGTTTACGCACCCACCAGGGCTACCTACCTACCCCAGTTGTTCTTTTTGGTTTATCAGCTTGTATTGTTATATTTATGGACCCCAAGTCACCACACTAAGAAGGAGTATGTAAAAAAAAAAAAAAAATAATAATAAATTAAGTTAATATCATCATATCTGTTTAAAACTGAGGGACTGAAATATTCTGACATATTTTTCAGGCAGCCCATAGTGTCTCATACTGCACCAAATAAAGTCCCTTCTGATAGAATCGAACGCTGCCTTGAAATCCACAAAATTAATGTAAAGAGGAATGTTAAACTCAAGACAGTTATGAATAATAGTTCGGAGAGAATAAATCTGATCAATACATGAGCGGTTCTGTCTAAATCCGCACTGATTTTCCCTGAGGAGACACTCCATACCAGCATGTAACCGCTTAAGAAGAATCATCTGAAAAAGCTTGGATGCTGTAGACCTTAAGGTGATCCCTCTGTTGTTCCCGCAGACTGAAGTGTCTCCTTTCTTCCCAATAACAATGATCACACCCTTTAACCAATCTTCAGGAACAGTCTCTTCTTCCCACACTTTCTTGAATAGACACTCTAGTTGATCAACTAGAGCACTCGCACCATACTTCAGTTGCTCGTTAGTTATCCCGTCCACTCCTGGGCTTTTGTTGTTCTTAAGCTTTGTCAGGGAATAACTAATCTCGTCTCTGGTGGGTGGTCCATCCGAACAAGAGAGAGAGTTAAAGTGGGGTTGGGGTGGTACTGTGTCAGTGTGTCAAGGTCGGCAAGGTCGACACTTGATAATGGAGGGTTCAGAAGTTCAGTAAAGTGCTCCTTCCACCTATCCCTCTGCTGTTGGGGATCCGTGATCTTCCTACCGTCCTTGTCCCGGACACAAGATGCTTGAGGCTTCTTGTTCTTACCAGAGATCTTCTTGATCTTTGCCCATACCTCACGCTGCTGACCTTTGCTCGCTGATTCCTCAAGATCAGTAGCTACTCTAACTGCCCAGTTATTGTCGTCTAGCTTGCTGCTTTTCTTGACTAACTTATTAAGTTTAGAATACTCTGACCTGTTAGCGTCTGAGTTTGGGTCTTTGCGCTTAAACTGTGCCCGCTGAATCAATAAATCCTTGGTCTTCCGTGACAGGTGTTGCTCCTTTGCCTTCCGGGGTCTTTTGCCTAGTACCTCCAGTGAGACATCAGTGACGGTCTGACTGAGATTACGCCACATATTCTCGAGGTCGACCTCACTATCCAGACTTGCAAATCGGTTTTGAAGAGCCACATTATACTCTGTAACCGTAGTACTATCCCTCAGGCGCTCAATGGCAGGCACATTGGGCCTGTTGGCGTTGATCTTTGTCACTGACTGAAGTTTGATTTTCAGCAGTCCTAGAACCAGATAATGATCGGAGCCGATGTCTGCCCCGCGACATACCCTAACATCAAAAAGTGACTGACGAAACCGCTTTCCAATGCAGATATGATCTATCTGATTGACGGTGAGCCCGTTGGGGGACCGCCATGTTCCCTTGTGAATGTTCTTGTGCTCGAAGAGAGTTCCCCCGATGACAAGCTGGTTCGTCGCACAGAAATCCACAAGTCTCGTCCCGTTGTCATTTGATGAGCTATGGAGTGATTCTCCACCGATGACCGCTTCACTTCCATATCTGCCTGATGTTACTTTTGCATTAAAATCGCCGAGCAGTAACTTGATATCGTGACGAGGTAGCCCATCAAATGTATCTGTGAGTGTCCTATAAAACTTATCTTTCTCACTCTCCTCTGCACCCTCAGTTGGAGCATAGGCCACAACAACAGAGATGTTAATTTGCTTACTATGCAGCCTAGCAGTTAAAACCCGCTCCGATGTGGGAGTGAACGATATCAGGGAGTTTCTGATTCGTTTTGAAAGACTGAGACCGACTCCCTGTCTCTTGATCCCGTCGACTCTACCGGAATGGATGAGTAGACTGCCATTGTCCAGTAGAGTGGTGCCAGATCCAGGCATGTGAGTCTCGGTGATCCCCAAAAGATCCAATCTGTACTGATCAATGTTTTGACTAAGTTGGTAGAGCTGTGTAGATGAGCTGACAAGAGATAGAACGTTTTAATCTACGAATCAACTTATATTAAGACCAGCATTTTAATCGATTATCAGGGTTTATTAAATTAAAAGGAAATCTTTAGGTCAAACCAGCACCAGCTCCAACTTGTGATGATGAAATTAAGAACCAAGGAGAAGAAAGAATTGATTGTGGAGGACCGTGTGCAGCTTGCCCTGTTACCATGCCTCCAACTACCCCTGCTGATCGAGTTTACAGGTATATATTATTTTATGATTCATAAATACAGCTGTACCGACTTTCAGCAACAGTAATTATTATATACAAATCCAGCATTAAAAACATATAATAAATGTATTTCCCTAAAAATCATTTTTCATAATTATTTGCAATTGTTTTGGCCACACTCTTTGACTGTCATTAATTTCAGTAAATTTGAATTCAAGAAAATAGCCTATCCATCGGAGGGGTACATCAATGGCAATGCTATAGTCCATGTCAGACATGCAGTGAAAAAGTGGCAAATGACTCTATTCTTCGATAGAAAGGTAGAGATCAGTCAGTTTTGGGGCGGAAAAATTGTCAGGTATGTCAATAGAAATAAGTTCACCATTTTCAATTAAAAGTGACACTATTTGGTTTCTTGCAAAAAAAGCAAATCTATCAGCTTCAATACATGTTATCATAATATACATGATCTATACTAGAAATATTCAATAGTGTGAATGAATTCAAGACAGTATACGTGTTTGGAAACAAAAGTTGGAATGGACGAGTTCCAGCGGGAGGCAAGGTAACAGTGGGATTTGAAGGAAAGTTCCCAACTGGTGCAGTGGACACACCGAATTTGATGGGCAAAGATTTCGTCGGTAAGGATTCCTTAAGAAAGGTCTTGTTAATGTTTTGAATGCTCTATATTGTTTAATAGTCCTTGACTTCTGTTAAAACTGTGATGCTAACACACAACAAAACTATTTCAGAGCCATGAGTCACATTGGATGGAACACTAAATATCAACGAATGTACAGTTAGATAAAGTCAAAGCTGGAAATTTATTATTCTTTCGTTTGAAAATAAATTATAGTTTCACTTTCGTTGTTTTTGTCAAAACTCAATTCATTAAGCATTATATAATGAAATAGCTAAAAAAGATTGTGGTAGGAAATAATACACAAAATTGAAATACACCGCCAAGAAAGCGAGTTATCTCATGTAATGTCACAAGTAATGTCACGATCATTAAGAAATCTCAACCAAAACAAGCTTTACGAAAAATGTACGCGAGCGCTCAATTTTGGAAAAGAACAATTCCAACGCATGAACTCAGCTTCATAATATTATATCCATATCGTGCGCGGCGCTACCATACCTCATTAAATTTATTCAGTTGCCCCAAGGCTTTTTGTCTGCTACACAGTACACTTAACTATTAAATGTACATCTAATGACACTCATTCCTAGTATATGGCTATGCTATGACATAAACAGCTCGTGTTGTTACTTTTTTTAATTTGAAATTTGTCCCACGAATTATTGTTACCACACGTTGTATAAGAGCTTAGTAAAGAGCAACTCTATGTCTTTTTCTTGTCTCATAATTTTGCACCTACACCTCCCCTACCAGATCTTAGCCGCTTCGAGAACGATTTGTGTAGATGGTTTTCTAAAATGAGAGCTAAAGTTGTATTTGATAGCTTTAAATGTGGACCCAACAAAGCAGATAAGAGAGTTACTGACATGGAACGTTGTCTTATAAAGACTGATGCATCACGTACTTTCGAATCTTGTAAAAACCCTGCACTTGAGGCATTTATAAAATTCTGCAGAGCAGAAGTAGACCTCCACAGGCCAACTCAGAAATTCGTCTCACCAGATAACATCGCTGCGCCCATCAGAGCAGCTCTCAAAGAAGTCAAAGGTTGGAAAGACATTGTAATCAGACCATTCGATAAAGGAGTAGGATTCTTCCTTCTTAGTGAAGAAGATTATATTCAACGAATAGGTGTACATTTAAATGATAGATCTGTATATAGTATTGTAAATAATGTAGATGATTTAGTTGTAGAATTGATTGATAAAATTTCGAATTGGACAATTGAGTTTAAAGATGAATTAGGTATGTCCAAGTCCCCTAAGATATCTGGTAAAAAGGTCCTGCTAGTTATGTAATATAAAATATATTTATGTTTGCTTTAATTGATACTAAATAAAATTGTTGTTTTCTTGAAATTGTTGTTTTCTTGAATAGTACTAATGTTTAAGTTGAAGTATTTTCGGTTATATTGACTGTCATGTTGATATTATTTAATTAATGAAATTTATTCTTGTATTCAAACATAAAAGATGATGTAGAGTTTTTAATATGACGTAGAATTATAGTTAGATCACAACGACCTATACTATATATGCGCGTTCGAATAGAAAGACTAAGTAAAACAAAATTTTTTTAAGTAAAACAAAATTTAAATTTTATTGCCACTACAATGAATAATAATATCATAATAAATATAAGTAGACATCCGATAATAAACTTGTTACATCCAGTACAACCCAAGATGTCAGCCGAGAGAAAGCTAGCATGTTCATTGTTGATAGTTTTTCTAACGAGCATACTTAGGCTGTACGGAAATAGCTTTAATGTTTAATTCTACGTCATATTAAAAACATTACATCATTTTTGCTAGATACAAAAATAAATTTTAAAATAAATAACTCTTTTGCTGCTTAGGCGCGGCAGCACGCTGGGTCCACATGTTATACAGCGTGTAGCAACACAGCGCTGAAATTGTAAGATGATTGAGATATAACATATAAGCGGTGCGCCGCGCCTAAACCTAAAACCATAAACTTTAAATTGTAAATATTGTCAAGATATTTAAACGAGTTTTGCGAAATAATATGACATGCTGACTTTGTAGGATATTACAATTATACCCGTGCCAGTTCCAAATGTGAGTCAGCGCTTAAACCAAAAGCAGTTGGCAAAAGGAGCCAGTTGCCTGCAAGAGCTTTACTAGCACCCGATTTACCACTTTTGGAGCACAAACTCAAACCTAAAACCGGCCAAGCACAAAAGTATGTTATCGCCACGATTGGGTGGATTGATTCCCAAAATATTTATCAGCACGCGGCACTAATAATATGAAGTTCATTATCGAATTTTAGATATGCCATGGATCGTTTAACACATTTATAAAAGGTTATTAAAGAATAATTAATGTTTGGTTGTTGGTATAAATCGATATTAATCAATTATTTAAAATAGTATTTGTGTTTGTTATTATTAACTATTGAGTTACGTTCGATTTAAATATTAAAACACTACTACAATACATTTCACAAAACAGAACGACGGGGACACAGAAAGGAGAAGGACAACACATCACACGGACGGAAACTGCTGCTGTTGACGAGTATCTGATTATATTAATTATGGGTCTCTTGTTCATTAAAATAGGTGTGATCATACTTCTAGAGTATATTGGGCTGACACAGTTGCTGCAAGGTTAACATTGGGGTCCAAAACCGGGAGTGTGATACAACTTATTTTCGCGTTACGTAGTAAGAGGTACAAAATATAAAATATAAGATATAGATGACTGCAAGTTTACGGATATAGCGCGGCGCCATTTCATCATTCTGGCGCGGTAAATCACGCTGGGTAATGAAATGATAAAGTTATACAATGTTTAAGTTTCGCGCGCTACGTTTACACAATATATTTGTGAGTCCGTCCCACGTTCCAGACGAACACTCCAGACAAGTATAGACCTGCAAGCTCTTTTTATTTGTTAGTAGATGGTAGAGCATCCTGGGCTATACTGGTTCTAACAAGTTTATTATCGGATGTTTACTTATATTTATCATGATATTATTATTCATTGTGATGGCAATAAAATTCAAATTTTGTTTTCCTTAAAATTTTGTTTTCCTTAAGTATCTGACCAATCGATTATTTTAGCATTGTGTTTAGTGTATCAGGCGTCCTCTGGACGGCATATGACTTTATACAATATAATTAGGGAGCGATACTGGAATTATGCTATTTATTTTTTATAAAAGATCATAACATCGTTATAAATAAACTTCTGTTTAACAGGAAGAATATTTAATTCATTTTGCTCTGTAGCAAGTTTTAATACTTTCACGATATTATATATTTTGATAATTGAAAGTTTTTGTTATCTTTAAATTGACTATATTATTAAAAGAGTCTTCTCGGCCCAGAAAAAGGGCATTCGCGCTGCAGATAACCAATACCACCGCTATTTTTATGACAAAGATCTGAATAGCACACCTTCACACACAAAGGAAATTTTCAATAAACTAGAAGTATTAGCTTTACCGAACGTGATAGCTAAATGTATATTATGCTTAATGCACAAAGTTTATTCTAACACTGCACCACCAAATATTATAAGAATGTTCACTGTTTCAAACTTAAACGCATCTAGAAGAGAACCTGAGTTCTTTGCAGTACCATTTAACCGTTTATGTAATTCAGACAAGAGCATTTCTTACATTGGGCCTAAGTTATACAACAAAACAGTCAACATTATTAACAAGGACATAAAATACGTTACCGCTTGCCTACAAGACAAATTCCTAAATTCATTCAAGTCTACAGTCAGCAAGCATGTGCTTACTGCACAAGCACTTAACCCGGATGACAAGGACTGGAACAACTCAAATTTCGTACTTTTAGAAATGTAAATAATTTGGTACAACATACGTTGATCATAATAACGAGCAACAAAACTTTAACCTCATAACGAAAAAAGACTATCTTCGAGCATTTTTTACAATGCTATCGATACCGCGCAATTTCACTGTCATTTAAAACTTTTAAAAGATAAAAATATCACCGCACATTCTTCAGACCCTGTGTCGCTGTTCTAAATTTATGTCAAGAGATAAGAGTTATTTAATATTCTTAATAGTACTATTTAAATTTGCTAATAGCATAATCATATTTTATACATTATTAATATTTTATACATTGTGTGCATATATTTATATTTGATTGTAATTAAAGATTTTAAGGCGTTAGTGCCGAGTAATGCCTTCGGGTAGTGCTCCTCAATCAATATAAATATCAAATTAATAAAATATCAAATTAATAAAATAGTCCAATGGAATAAACCTAGCATGCCTTGGTTGCAGTATCGCTTCACTTATAGGTGCATATAGGCCATAGGGCCTGATGTTATTGCTATGACCAGTTTACTGGTCAACTGGTGTTTAGGTGTCCCTAATTTTGTTTACACTCGGTCACTTGTCACGGCATGTAATTGTGTAACAATTTGAAAGCTTATTGATTAAAAAACACTACTATATATAACAAATAATTGTAGATCATGAGTACGATGCTGTGGCATTAAAACGTTGAATAATCCCTTTCCTGATAAGAGCCAGTTCCATGTCACAACAAACGGGATCAATACAAAATTTGCCAAAGAAACATTACGAATATGCGACTAATAAGTAATGTTCCGATCCGGATATTACAAGTTTATCTTCATTATATCTTGAATAAGGTTGGCCATTTATCCATTTAAGTTTTAACACCACGCTTTTAGAATTTAGATAGCTACAAAATGTTCGAGATGAGCTGCAGTTTGAGGGGACCATATGACAGAACAATATTCAAATATGGACCTAACTAATGCTAAATAGAACGATCTTTTCTGCCTTTTATCAGTAATGAAATGTAGCCCAAGTCTGGAGTTAGCTTTAGAAACAAGCGCCTTACATTGTGCTCTCCAATTAAACTCTGGATATATCCATTTAAATAAAACTCTAGATTTATATTTATAGTAAGCTGTCACTCTATTAACTAATTATAAATGCCCCACATTTCTAGTTATACTCCCTTTAATACAACTACAATCCAATACTGCCATATCTAGACCAGTGTCCATGTAAAACTTTTCTAGGTTGCTGTTTGGTGTTAGCAATAGCACACAGCATACGCACTCCTATTCCCCATCAACTTATATCTAAATTAGTTAAAGAGTGACAACCATACTTACTGAGCATTAGGCTTCCCTTAAATACCAAGTTTAGTTATTTTTATTATAATTTAACTGCAATAAATGGCAGAACATTTTAATATTTATTTGATTGAATTACTGTTTGAACCATTGAAAACAGTGTACTTACAAGTAAAAGTGTTTGTGTAAGAAGTGGTCAAATTCTGAAACATCAGTCCGAATTTTAGTACAAATGAAGTCAGGTGCTTGTGAACACAAGCACAAGAGAATCTTGTGGTTTCAGGTGTTACTTGCTGGTTACTTGTTGGTTACTTGTTGGTTACTTGTTGGTTACTTGTTGGTTACTTGTTGGTTACTTGTTGGTTACTTGTTGGTTACTTGTTGGTTACTTGTTGGTTACTTGTTGGTTACTTGTTGGTTACTTGTTGGTTACTTGTTGGTTACTTGTTGGTTACTTGTTGGTTACTTGTTGGTTACTTGTTGGTTACTTGTTGGTTACTTGTTGGTTACTTGTTGGTTACTTGTTGGTTACTTGTTGGTTACTTGTTGGTTACTTGTTGGTTACTTGTTGGTTACTTGTTGGTTACTTGTTGGTTACTTGTTGGTTACTTGTTGGTTACTTGTTGCTGTTTTCGTATATGAACCAACAACCCATAAGGATCTTCAATTGACAGAGATTCCGGCTGGTGCTTTTAATAATGGCCATATGTGTCACCACCAGACAATCATATAATTTCGTCAGTCAAACATTGTATGGTAAAGATCACATGATGTGACCTGTTCACCGTTTTGAAGCACACTGTTTAAAATTGAAAAGGCTTAAAAAAAATAATATGTGTGTTTGTGCGATTTGAATAGTATTCCTGTAACGATACAAATTATATTTTAAACATACTTTTAAAAGTTGTTTCGAAGACTTGAAATCACACATAATGTCGCTATCCATCAAAGGAAAAAATTGAGAATTTTCGTGAAAAATCGAAATATACACTAATTTGCAATAATTGATCAGGAAGATGACGATTATATTCTGCATATACACCGACAAATTGTCATTTAATTAGCATGCTTATTTATTGGGTATTCTGGAGTCATCATGGAAAAACCTGTAAACCTAGCTTAGAATTTAGATCTCTTATAATCAGCAGTACTATTACTCTTACTTACTTATTTGCTGTTTTAGCTGCGCTGCAGCAGGGCCATCATCTGAAATGACCACCCTTATGCTTTACTTCGGAAAACCATGGCTACATAGTTACGCTGTAACCGGCACTTACAGGAAACCGAAGGATCAAGTACTAAGGCCAGCGACGGTTGGTGATTCGTAGATTAGTTATTTGTTAATTAATGATAAGCTGCTACTCTTATGATGTTGGTAAAACCAGCTGGAAAGCAAAAAACAGTCTTCCTTCGTTTTTTCAAATATCTTATTAGTATATTCAGATGTACTTGATTGAGATATAATAAACTGTTGCCCTGAACACTGCTTATGTTACTGCTTTGTTTGATTTAAAGGTTTAAATCAAACAATTGTACGAGAATCTGGTGAAATCAGAAAATAAAGACATTATCAATACTTGTGGGGGTTGTTACTGGCTTGCCTCAGTATTAGCCTGAGCTTCCATAGAGGAAACAGCATCATTTACCAGTAATGTTCGGAGAAACGTGTCTCGTCAGTGGTAATTAGAAAGTAAAAAGGTAATGTAGTCAAGACTGGGCATTAGATAATTTCTAAGTGGCGACACATTTTACTCATGATCTATGACAACTACTGTCCCTAAAATTCAATGATATCTCTTAGACGCAATCATACGTAGTCAGTTATTAAATTCAATATAGTGCTTAAAAGTACATTGCAATCGGAATATCATATTATTCCGTACCTCAAATTAATCCAAACTAGGTAATACGATCTTAAACAAACTCTGCTCCAATGTCAAAGAAGCATAGTAGATGTAAAATGAATCTCGCTTGTTACACTAATAAGTCACCTAAATCATTAGCCCCTATCTAAGTTAGAAACGTTCCTTATCATTTCTCGAGCTTAACTTTGTAGAATTAAGGTCACATATTAGTAAGTTAAATACATTATTCAACCTGTTCTTAAACTCCTTAGTCAAAGCAAACTTAAGAGACAAAAATATAGGGGCACATGCAATGGATCGTTACTAGATAATGACAATTTGTTAATTTTGTGCGGTCAAGACTGATAAAAAGAGAGTGTCTAAATACATGTTTTATCCAGATTCGTGAAAAATTCAATCATATCACTTTTACACAAATTAATGATCATAATTCCAATGTTTCAATAAATGAATTCCTCTGTTTCACGTCATTTGTTTTTCTGTTCAGCTACTGAATTCGGAACATTTTATAATGTGTAACAATTTTAACAAAAAGAACATCTGTTGATTTTAAACTTGAATGGTGAGGTTTAACGAAATGAACATCTGTTGATTTTAAACTTGAATGGTGAGGTTTAACGAAATGAACATCTGTTGATTTTAAACTTGAATGGTGAGGTTTAAACTTGAAGTACGTGACGTCTGTTAACCAATCAGCCTTCAGAAGAAGCCACAAGCCAGTAGCCAAATCGCTGTTACAACAAATATGACTCAACTAATCATTCTCCACCAGCTTTGTAAATTAAGGCTTTTGTACTTGCAACTTATTGGGTGGTCAATGGTCAACCCGACAGTTCAAACTCGATTACCGAGTGGAAAGTGATCCGATACTATTTCTGAGTCAAAAACTCCTGGATCGGGGGGGGGGGGGGGGGGGGGGGGTCGAAAGTGTGTTACTGCTAGACCCGAGTGCTTAACATTTGTTTTCTCCTTTGTGAACGGAATCAATAGAGTTAAACACATAACTCACTGGTTGTGAGCACGAAGCTGGGTATTTTATACCTTGTAAATTTAACGTACACGGTTTGGAAACACCAAATTTGTAAACTATTAGTGGTTTTAGGTTATTGAAGTGTGGAAAGTGCGTTAATAGTATTACACTTTGCGGCAAATAGCAGGATTGGTGAGATTCGAAGCGCCACAAACATTTCACAAAGAACCAAAAATTTCAATTGACGTCAGGGTTTGCAGGGGATTTTTTGGAAGCCTGTGGCGTTCAAAGACGAGCTCAAGAAAATTGAAAAATAGGTATTCGGGCAGACTGACTTTTTGATAGCCGTTTTTTAGACCAGATGGACATGTTTACCAGTGCTATATTTGCATCTGTTAGATTCACGCTAGCCATACATCCCCCTCACAGTGAACCTGTGATTCTGCTCTTACTTGACCGTTTAGGAAAGTAATGTGGACCTCCCACCAACTTAACCTCGTTACCAATATAACCACCAGAGCGTTGACAAAGCAAACAAACAAGTTTCCTGCACCAGTTTACATCACCTCCATACCCTTAGCAGCTGTTAACTGAGAACTACAGACCCTGTAATGAGGCTCACTAAGGCACGTTCTACCGGACTTCCTATCGTGCAATAATAAACAACTCCCCCCTCTCTCTCTCTCTCTCCCTCTCTCTCCCTCTCTCTCCCTCTCTCTCTCTCTGGACGTTGTTGGCATCGTGTCGCACAACTCTGTCATGTTACCTTGTTGTTTCTTCAAGCTGTTGCAGCTGTTAGCGTGCTTGCTGCTGCTTGCTTACCAGCGCTCCAGCCTTATCACAATGGCTTTATAGAGAGATTGTACTCAGTTTATGAGAACTATCAAGTGCTCATTATTCTCCCTCGTACTCGTGTCAGTTTAGCAGTTTAAATTTATACTTCTACATCATCTACTTTTGTAGCGGCTGCTTTTTAGTGTTAGTTAGTTTCGCAGCAAGTATTTTTAGTGTTAGTTAGTTTCGCAGCAAGTATTTTTAGTGTTCGTTAGTTTCGCAGCAAGTATTATTTCATTCTCGCCGTATTAACGTACAGTTTAACAAAACACTTTGTTCACAGTGTCAATCTTTTGTAGGCAGAGTATATGTTTTAGAGAACAGCCCACACAGTGGCAGAGACGAACTGCTCTTATAAGAAGACGAAGTTAGAGTATAAAATATGGCTATCAGCTCCCCCACAGACAAATCCAGCTTACAGGTTACTACAAATGTAATTTACAATTACTGTAATTTACAATTACTGTAATTTGCATGAGAAGTTGAAAGTATGCCGAGTACTCTGTACACAACTGTAGGGTTTCCTCATCCCTAATTACTATGCAATGCGTCCTACTTTTGCTAGTAATTGTTTGTCCTGCTGAGATACAGCAGTTTCACACGCTTTTCGTCAAAAAGTAAGCTTGTAACTGTATACTTGTTATGTTACGTGGTAATGTTACAAAGTAACTACGTGGTGATGTTATAAAGTTGTAAACTATAATAATACAGGTAATACGGATAAACCCCTCCAAGCAACTCCCCACTAAAGATGCTGATGCCCTCAAGCTCTTCATCGGTCAGATTCCTAAACACTTTGACGAGAGTGAGATAAGGCCCATATTTGATAAGTACGGGGAGATATATGAGATTGTTATCTTGAAAGATAGGGCTACGGGCGTGAGTAGAGGTTAGTAATCTCGTTATCACATATTGTTGCATATCTTATTAACAAAACTCAGTTGAGGAATAATTAAACGGAATAATGCTAGCCCAACTAAGCATGACCAAACGAAAGTATGCATAGTCCTACTGAACCGAACTTTTCATGAGTGCAAATTAAGCTAGTTAATGAAATCCTCAAAATCTATAGAGCCAGAGGCACTCTGGATAGAATCTAAATAATATATTTAGTGGTAAATGTGTCGTTGATTTGTGAAATTTTTGCATGTCGATAGAGAATCCGGAGAAGGGAAAATAAATTAACACATTTAAAAAAGTTCGGCCGTATTTTTCCGATCCTTAACCTAGCTCGAACCGAAACAGTAAAAAAGGACATAACCTTGAACAGAGCCGAAATCGTCATCGTTCCCTGAGATGAATCACCATTTCAATCATCTGATCAAAATGAACAATCATCAAACATCATCCTGATCCTGCTCCGTACACATCTTAACACTTTGTCTAACTTACATTTCACTTTATCTCCACTCAACATAATTTCACCCAACATTTTATTACTTTTTGACGCACACCACCAGCCACGTACAATTAACACAGTACATTAATTCCAATGAGTAGGTTACACTGGCTGCAACAGACTACAGCTATACACCACCGATACTACACGCTCACTCTCCACTCTCCACTCTCCAGCTCTAATATCATTTGTTACTGTTTTTCCTTCACCTCTTTACATGTTCTCGTGTGTGTGTGTTGTTCACCTTGATAGGCTTCACTAGTTTCACTTCATTGGAAGCACTTGGTTGGTTAATAGAATGAGGGAAGCAGGAAGTGGGGGTAAGAAGTTAAGCTGTTCACAGTTCTGTGTCGGATTAACTTACTATGTTTCTAACACCATGATAATGTGATAATTACTTTATAATTATGTGATAATTACTTGTATCTGTGATTATTTAGTTTTGTAAGAGAGTAGAGTTATTGGTGGGTAGAATAATTGGTGGGTGTGTGACTGTTTAGTGTTTATTGGTAGGTTGACTGTGGGGAGGTGGCATGTTTAATGAGCTAATTTCCTGATTTGCTGATGAGAGTTGATGTGGAAGAGTTGTTGTACTGTGGTAGTGTACGTGAAGCAGCTTGGACGGGTAATCTGGTTAAAAGTGGAATCCGTCAGATTTGTTCGTGTATTCCTTTCAGTTTGTAGCCAGTGCAGAGATAAGTGAATAATATTTGATCCAGCTAAGGCGAGACTAAATCAATGGTCTACAACGGATTTTAGCAGGCCCTTATTTGGAATCTATACTCATTTGAGCCCGCATTGGTGCAGCGAGTCACCTTAATTGATTCCCAGAACAACCAGTTACATGAATAAATTATCAGAAATTATAATGAACGTCTGGGTGGTATTATGTATAACTCTTGACATGAACTCGATTAAGCAGCTATTCTCGTACCAATCACAATGTAAATATATCCTCCCAATTAGAAAGATAATCCACGTTCTCCCTGAATATTATAGCCGTTTTACACCTCGAATTAATGTGTATTTTTACATCTCCACATTTGACAAATTTTCACATGCTCGGTGTATCCCGGACACAGAAGGAAACCAGTCACGTGATTGTGGCCAAGCTCTCTGATTGGCTGATCTCTAAGTCACGTGATCCTGGTGCTGGTCTCTGATTGGCAGGTTGCCAAGTCCCGTGACCACGCCCAGGGGAAGGTTGTTTGTTTGTGTAGGGCATGTTTCCGCCGGGTGTATGTTTATGTTAAGAGGAGTAAGATTTAGAAACATGTGTCGTGCACGTACAGCGGATCCTCAAGTTTCTTCAATCACACCGGGATTATTTACCATAATAAGAACCATGACTCTAGGCTTTATTTGAACAGGAATATCATTGAGCGTGAACTATGAACTTGAAATGAGAGGCTCAAGCTAATGCGATATTGTGAATTGTGAATTTGTCGGGAAATTTTGCAACGGTACATACGTCACCTAACATGCATTCGATATTCAGCTTGATGGATAGTGTTTATTTTGTAGCACAGGCAAATAAATCACGTTCATACTGACCACTGACCTATCCTAATAACTTGGGAACTTATAAAACCCGCTCACTCCATTAGCCAAGATAGAAGAACTCGTCGGAAAGAGCGAGATAGAAGTGTAGAATTAAACCCTATACAAATTTGGAACTTTATGGAACTTTATGGAACTTATTGTGAACTCAAGGAACAGAAGATCTGGGTGTTCTAAAAAGAAGCTACCCGCTAGTATGGACAGCCGGTCTTTCTTTGCTGGTCTTCTCTGTTGAGCGGCTGCTAAATTAGAAACATTACAATTACAACATTCTCCCACCATTCTTACAAACTCCTCCAACAAGAATGTGTTATGTGACTTTTCTCTGTGAGCGATAGGCCTAACTCTTCTCATGACCAAATCTTGGTTCTCCCAAGTTTGACATGCCATAAAACCGTACATTGCGCAAGTCTAACATTGTCATGTGGATTTTATTATGTAAAGGATGTCATAATGAGAGTTAATGGTAATGTCTGCTTAGTGTTTAGATGTCAGATTGCTTGTCCACAGTTGTTAGCAAAAATTCAAAATGAGATTTGATGCTTATTATGTGAACGATTAAAAGACGGCATATCTAGAAGAGTAAGAAGTACGCGGTTTGGCGATGCGGATATTTTAGTTTTTGACCGACTAGACTGTGATAAAGGATAAAACAAAGGCCCTACTAAAAGTTATTGTTTAGAAATAATCTTCTTACAAATAAAATATAAAGGTCTCATGTTCAGATCGTTAGTCCAACGAGAATCATTACCTAAGTTTAAGTTATCAATAATCATGAAGGAGATATCTGCCTCTATCTAAAGTTTCCAGTCTCTATCTAAATACTTGATTTTCAAGTCTCCGGCCTCTACTTTAAGTTTTCACATTTAGGTCTCCATTCCAAGTTTGCAGTTTCAAACTGTAACGTGTTATACACCATTCCTCCTCCTCCTCGCGTGTGTACATGCTATGTAAAGTGCAGGCTTGCTTATCCTGACCACTCCAATACACTTTTAACTTTTCGTTTTACACTCCCCTGCTTGACTTCGTGACTCACAATTGCAGTGGTGTGGTTGGTGGAGCGTGGACACGTGACCACCTGCTTGATGGTCATTGGTCAGCCTCGTCCCTTGTTTGCTTGTCAACTCCGCTTCATTCAAAACAATTGATGCGTTCACTTTTCCTGAGGATGCAGTAATAGTCATAACGGATAACAACTGGAACGGTGTGTGGTTTTAATACAGTAAACTAGTGGGCTGGAACAGGGAATAGTCGCACAGGCAATAGTCGCATTTAGTCGCATGCTTCACAAGTTGAGATCCACTTTGTGGAATTGTGGTGTGGCGTTATCTTGCTGCCAGCACAAACTCAGGGGAGAACAGTTTATTTAAACTCAAAGACACGCGTTTCCAATTAATGGCGAGTGTTAATCCCCGTATACATCATTATTTTGGACGGAAATTGAGTTTAAGTTATTTGCACTGTTTATACCACCTAGTGGGTACTAGCTGATCACACTGGAGCACTGGATAGCACAGATGAACCTGTCCACCTATAAATAAATAAATATCTACCAGTAGGATTAAGAAGTAGGATTAACCAGTAATCACGTGACTCTATTTCTATAAATCACGTGACTCTATTTCTATCTCCCGATTGGATGAGTGCTCGTAGTGACCAATTCAGTCAGCTGTACGGAGTAGCGCTACTGGACATGTGAGATAGTCGGAAGTATGCCCTGGCTGTTTACTCTTCCTGTCACAGATACATCACACCCTGGAAATGCTGGGCTCTCTGGAGCCCCCCATTGGAGGAGATACCCCACGTGACCTAGGATTAGCCGCCCACGTGTGCTGTCTAACAAATCATGTCCAGATTATCAGTCATTACGTGAGCTCCTGACAATGCGCACTGGGTACCTGCTGCAAGCACTGTAATTAGGGGCCTTCTGAGTGGTTGGTTACTGCCCACGTGTCAGCTTTACAGAGCCCTGATTGGTTAATTACACCTCACCTGACCAGGGAAAGGCACTTTGATTGGGCGAGGGTGGTGTGATTGTCAAGTACTTGGCTGCTAATAGATTATCATTACACGGCCGATCTGGGCGACACACATGTAAATTCCCTAAACACATCCGTTAGCTTGTAGCGGCCCCCCGGGACCAGATGTCCCAATATAAGGTTCTATATATATAATATAAGGTTCTGTTACAATTAAATAACATTAGCTAGTAGTCACCTGCACTGCGACACTCTCCTCTCCTGAATAAACACCGCACATTATTTGTGCAAACAGTGGTACCATTAAATATGATGCACCGAAACACCTTGTTTAGGGAATTTAAAAGTATGCAAATCTTCTTAAATCTTCGTCGAAATTGTAGAGTCAATGAGCCGACAGCATGCTTACAAAATACATAATAGGAAACTATTTTAAGTTCGCCTTAAATTGCACTCGCTAATATCTTCGGAAAACCTTCAGAAAGTAGAAAAAATAAATATCACCTTGAAAATGACACGTGAGTACTAATTGGTAATTTGGCTAATTAATTTCCATTAAACATGGTTATAAAAGTGTAGATGCAATGTGTCATGAAAACAGTGAAATAAATGTACTCAGAACAACGGAGCTGATGGTTCCCAAAAATAAAAATGTACAAATTTCCATGTTGTAAGCCTCCGAGGCAGAAGCTGTTTATAATTCACCCTTTTTAATTCGTGAACGTAATTGCTGAAAATCCACAATTAAAGATAATACATTTTTCTTAATCTCACTCCGAGGAAGATTTGAAAAAAACCTTCCATGTTACTCCGTTCTAAATAACATGAGTAAACATTCTCAACTACAAACTTGCCCAACTCACCCAAGATTAATAATCATGATTATGACTAATATTACTATAATTATGACTAATATTACTATAATTATTCCAATGACATAGTCCCTAGGAGTATTAAACTGTCAATAATTATGTCTCTTTGCCATATTGATTATTTAGTTCATTACATGAGTATGACACGTTACAACGTGACTTGTATAATTGACCAGTAACATATTTACTCGACGCTGATCAGAAAACTCCCCAAATTTGGAAAATTAGATAATAATTATCTTTTATTATTGATAACCACTTAACTAATTCTGATTATTCCAGGATGCGCATTTTGCACGTACTGCCGGCGGGAATCTGCCCTCAACGCACAGCGAGATCTCCACGAAAAGAAGATTTTACCAGGCGTAAGTAGCTCAATTAATTAATAATCAATTGTAAGAAGTTATTATTTTACCAGGCGTAAGTAGCTCAATTAATTAATTATCAATTGTAAGAAGTTCGATTAATTCCGCAAGGCTTTATCTGCAATCGTATTGTACCACAGAGGTCTCTAGAAACTGTCCGAGGAATGCTGGGGTTGTGAGCAACTGTTCTGTACAGATTGTAACATAGGTACCATCACCCATCCCTGTAATTAATTAAGAAAAGGCCTGGCAGTAAGATAAATTAATCAAGTTCATAATTGTGTGATATTTGATAACATTTGTGCAAGTCATAAGCTAGGTCTTATCTCATTGAGATGCACATTGAGGTTTTTTATAATTTGAAATCAAATAGAAATGTTGCTTTCTTTGCTGAGTGAAAAATGGGCAAGGAGACTTGCCCATATTAATTGCCTGCAGTTTTGGTTTTTGCGTTTGATTAAGTTCCCAGTTTTGCCATTAGGAGTCAGCTATCTGAGTTCCATCGTATGTAGTCTTTAATCCAGCGTATGGTGATTTTGTTTTCATTATTCGTAAATTGTGTCACGTTTGAAGTTGCGGCATTTGGCAGTCAACAAGTAAATTCGTTTTTTCCTATCGTTTTTTCAAGTGACCTTGAGGCCGAAGAATCATAGTCCTGGGTATCTGGTGATGTTTGTATCACAGTGACAGTGAGTCAGTGACAGCTCTTCAAACTTACTTACTTCATAGCTAAGACTAACAACTTGCCACTTGGCATGTTAATAGTCGGAGAGAACATTGTATTATTGTTGTGTAAAGGAGTAAATGAGAAAGGCAGCAGCGAGCATTTTATTTGTAACCAGTCTGTGATTAATGATTACTGACTCTTGGAACTTTTAAGGATTTATCTTATAATAACTTATACGTTATAACTGCATATTTGCTTACACTATTCTTTTCAATGCCATGCTTTTCCTGCATAAATCAATTTAGGAAGGAATTCTAAACGAAAATTGCGAAATTCAGCCATGCATGGAACACATAAAAGTATCATCCTAAATTTGTACAAAATAATTAGAAAAATTTTAACAATTTCAACCGGGGAATGTCACATAAAGTCTGAAACTTTTAGCTGTAAATCGCACGCAGTTGACGATTCGGCGACAGGTGTCGCCTTGGATTTGCTGTTACACAAATTACTTGAAGTAAGGAGGTCTGTTTATCACGAAATAAATTCTTGTTAATATTTCAATATTATTCATTATTTTTCAACATTTTTAATCACCTTCAATTTTGTTCATAATTATGGTTAAAATGAACGAATAAAAATGCACCAGAAATTATTTAAATTGGCATTATTTTGATTTATAACGGTGATCAGAACACTGCACAGCCCAACGCTTTTTCAAACATTTCTAAATATTGGTGACAGTTAACTGCTCTCTCGTAAGTTCACATTTCACGCAGCATAATGTGCACTGTGCACGTTACTTTGGTGCAGTGAAAAGTAAAGGGGCGTGTAGAGGAATAAGTCACATGTACAATCAGTCTGAGTTACAAGTAGTACTGTGTGTAGAGAGAGAGAGAGAGTGTGGACACACATTCGCACTGATTTGTAACTTGTGGACAATATTTATACTTGAAGGGAATGTAAGTGAGTCACTGATTTGTAACTTGTGGACAATATTTATACTTGAAGGGAATGTAAGTGAGTCACTGATTTGTAACTTGTGGACAATATTTACACTTGAAGGGAATGTAAGTGAGGCACTGATTTGTAACTTGTGGACAATATTTATACTTGAAGGGAATGTAAGTGAGTCACTGATTTGTAACTTGTGGACAATATTTATACTTGAAGGGAATGTAAGTGAGTCACTGATTTGTAACTTGTGGACAATATTTATACTTGAAGGGAATGTAAGTGAGTCACTGATTTGTAACTTGTGGACAATATTTATACTTGAAGGGAATGTAAGTGAGTCACAGATTTGTAACTTGTGGACAATATTTATACTTGAAGGGAATGTAAGTGAGTCACTGATTTGTAACTTGTGGACAATATTTATACTTGAAGGGAATGTAAGTGAGTCACTGATTTGTAACTTGTGGACAATATTTATACTTGAAGGGAATGTAAGTGAGTCACTGATTTGTAACTTGTGGACAATATTTATACTTGAAGGGAATGTAAGTGAGTCACTGATTTGTAACTTGTGGACAATATTTATACTTGAAGGGAATGTAAGTGAGTCACTGATTTGTAACTTGTGGACAATATTTATACTTGAAGGGAATGTAAGTGAGTCACTGATTTGTAACTTGTGGACAATATTTATACTTGAAGGGAATGTAAGTGAGTCACTGATTTGTAACTTGTGGACAATATTTATACTTGAAGGGAATGTAAGTGAGTCACTGATTTGTAACTTGTGGACAATATTTATACTTGAAGGGAATGTAAGTGAGTCACTGATTTGTAACTTGTGGACAATATTTATACTTGAAGGGAATGTAAGTGAGTCATGTGCAACTCACCAAGGGTTCATTTTTATTTTATATTTTTAATGAATAAAATACGGTAAATACTCTTAACACAGTTCCGCTGTTAGTTTCAAGACGAGGTATCTGTTGGGAACTTGTGACCTGGCTCCGAAAATCCCCTGAAGCGACCAATTAAGTTATTAGCGGTTAAGTGTAAATCAGACCTCGGTATTTGTACATCACTTAACGGCTTGCACCTCAATTTTGACATAATTAAAGGCCAAATCGATTTCAGGTGTCTCCTCAAATTCTGAATAATTTCACCAATAATAACAATTCGAGAGCTCTTGGCACTTATACTAATTTGAAATAGCATTTTTATCGACCTCACAAACTTGATTTAATAGCACACAGTTTGTGTGAACTGTGATAGCCTACCCCTAATCCTAGCTGAGCTAATAGTTGTGCTAATGTGTGAACTGTTTGATGTCTCCCTGACTCTCTACTCAGGTAGTCTGTATTACCACAGCTACTAGACACTTTACCTCCCTTACATGGACGTCTATCACATACCTTATTTGTTCGGCCTTTATTTGGCCAGAAAGAAGTCTGTCCAGCCCCTACTATGGCCAAAGGAGCCAAATTTGGACACATTAGAACCGTTCAAATTAGGACCGATAAGGCACTATTTGTCACCCTATGCTTTAGCAGACTGTATTCTAGCGGACACTGATGAATTCATTATACTTGGCAATATCTATTCTCAAGACGCATCACCAGATGTAAATAATGTTTCCTTCCTAACGACCTACTTACATTTTCTGCTGCTCTTATTTTCATATCCTACTGATCACATTTTGAGGGCGCTAAATTTAATAAACGTATCATAATTACTGAGTCTCATTGTTACTCATCAGATTCTGAATCTCTGAGTTCTCAAGAAACTACAATTAACATCCTTTGTACCTTAAATCATACCTCAAATTGGGTGAAAATATATTAGCAATTCCAGCCGAAAGTGAATTTCACAAATTTATTACACCTGTATTATGCAGTACGCACCTTAGACCTGGATAATACCCGCTCTTCAGTCTAGGACAAACAGGGCGGGACGACTACTGATTTCGGGCACTTGTCCATCCTAATAAGTTATTAAATAAACGAAGTACATGGTATTATACCCTTCCGTATGTGATTGGGCCAGTGTGCACTTATACCCAATTATTTCCATCCCCGTTTACACGCTGTATCAAGTATGACGGTGGACTAGAGAAGCAAAAACCTCCCATTTTCCTCAGATTTCAACCCTCGTTTTACTCCACAGAGACTGTATCCTAACCATACTCTGGTGTTATCTTTTATCACATGATATTTTATAACCGAGGGGGGGGGGGGGGGGGGGGGAGATGGGGGGGGGGGGGGTCTAACCTAGTTAGCAGGTTCCGTCGGGAGGCGATGCACACACATACATTGTAAATTAGATGTTTCCTGAGGGCACATGTGATCTACAACTGTGTGTACAAATGTGTCCCTATTAACCTGGGAGTGACAACCCAACTGTCTGTAATATCCCTGTAGTAATATCAGGTGTACCTGGCATGTGCTTCAGAACAGCTACCACGTGCTTAAAACTAGTATACACTTGTCATGAAGTGTGCTGGAACTGGGAGTGATGTTTTCAGACTGAGGTTGGAATTGAAGTTGAAGAAGATTAAGGTATTCATTTTGATTACAGACACACACTTTAAACATGTATAATGTATATTGTATATATACACATTACACATGTATATTGGACGTGTAAGTATGTATTATGTACAATCTACACTGAGCTCCTCAGCTCCCCTGGATTTCATACAAATCATTAGCCCCTTATTGTTGAAATATTAATAGCTCTCTGCCCCTAATCGTCATCATCTCTTGGCTGTGACGCCTGACATATCCCGGCATACTGGTATAGCGGCCTGGCGGCTTTCTTATGTCTTAGAAAGTCGCACCATATACACATCATCAGTAAAGAAAGTCATTGGTTCTAGTGAATGAAGTTCAGTGCCGCAACTTAGTGTTATGAATTATGATTATAATCAAGGAGGGACTGGGGTGGGGTCCCTGTTCGAAGGGGGCTAACGGGCGTGGCCCCTACCTCCACCCCTACCTCCACCCCTACCTCCACCCCTACCTCCACCCCTACCTCCACCCCTACCTCCACCCCTACCTCCACCCCTACCTCCACCTCTACCTCCACCCCTACCTCCACCCCTACCTCCACCCCTACCTCCACCCCTACCTCCACCCCTACCTCCACCCCTACCTCCACCTCTACCTCCACTCCTACCTCCACCCCTACCTCCACTCCTACCTTCACCCCTACCTCCACCCCTACCTCCACCCCTACCTCCACCCCTACCTCCACCCCTACCTCCACCCCTACCTCCACCCCTACCTCCACCCCTACCTCCACCCCTACCTCCACCCCTACCTCCACCCCTACCTCCACCCTTACCTCCACCCCTACCTCCACCCCTACCTCCACCCCTACCTCCACCCCTACCTCCACCCCTACCTCCACCCCTACCTCCACCCCTACCTCCACCCCTACCTCCACCCCTACCTCCACCCCTACCTCCACCCCTACCTCCACCCTACCTCCACCCCTACCTCCACCCTACCTCCACCCCTACCTCCACCCCTACCTCCACCCTACCTCCACCCCTACCTCCACCCCTACCTCCACCCCTACCTCCACCCCTACCTCCACCCCTACCTCCACCCCTACCTCCACCCCTACCTCCACCCCTACCTCCACCCCTACCTCCACCCCTACCTCCACCCCTACCTCCACCCCTACCTCCACCCCTACCTCCACCCCTACCTCCACCCCTACCTCCACCCCTACCTCCACCCCTACCTCCACCCCTACCTCCACCCCTACCTCCACCCCTACCTCCACCCCTACCTCCACCCCTACCTCCACCCCTACCTCCACCCCTACCTCCACCCCTACCTCCACCCCTACCTCCACCCCTACCTCCACCCCTACCTCCACCCCTACCTCCACCCCTACCTCCACCCCTACCTCCACCCCTACCTCCACCCCTACCTCCACCCCTACCTCCACCCCTACCTCCACCCTACCTCCACCCTTACCTCCACCCCTACCCAGACATCTTATTAGCATTTTAGGTAAGTAGGATGTACTTCAAGTGAAAAAACTAAACGATTTTAACCTTGTGGTTCAAACTGAATAGCATTGTCTGGAGGCACGACCACAAGGTATTTAGAAGAAATCAACTGATTATCGAACAGTTGTCCGCAGATACCACATAAACTTGAGCCCGAGAAAGTTGATCTCAATTCCACGGAATGATTGTGGGATGCGGTATGAGACAATACCGTCCATCGTAATCAATAGTTGTGTGGTCACTGCATTAAAGGTGGTCTCTATAGAGAGTCTCTAATCCCTTTAGTTTGAGTACCAGGTCTGAAGTATGACGCGAGTAACAAAAGCGTAAGACCCAGGAGAGGTTTGGCAAGCACAACGTAAGAAACCAGAATAGTTATTCGTAAGAAGGGGACCTGAAACTCTGAAAGGGAACTGAACAAGATCCGTGAACGTGATCGAATCATCAGAGTACATACCCACTACTATATTCAATACTATATTCAATACTGATGTCCCATCGAGAGAGAAAGTTGACGAACCAACCTCCAATCACATGAACCCCCCAACATCATGTGACCTGGTCCAGCCAATGAGCGAGCGAGTTGAGTGCTTCTCACCAATGAGGGACCCGCAAGAGTTGGCTTCGCGTCGTAATCAGATTACACGAATTATTTTCCCTACAGTAATGGAGCCGTGATATGTGAACTATGAAAAGTAAACAGCGAATTTGAGTTCCTCCTGACCCCCTTTTGACATGTAGCAGGCCTCAGCTTGTTGCATTTTCTTTGAGCGTTGTCATTTTGTTTGTCTTTTAAATATTCCCCTGGTTTCGGTCATGCCTGCTGTGCGACGAGCCAAGGTGAGGAGCGTGTGCTAATACTTTTCTCTTGACATTGTATACACATTGTGGGGTGGTTTGGAGTTTCCAAATTTGCCGTTTGGTCATTCCTGTTATCGCCTTATTTGGCCTTTTATCACTTAGCATTGCTAAGTTAGCTAAGTTAGCATTGTAGTGGAATGATACCGGCTGAAATTACGGGCACGTGAGTAAGCAGCAGAAGGGCTCGGTCAACTTATTAACCTTACTATAGTCATGCCAGGTCTGAGGATATCTTAATAGCATAAGTTAAAACATTGTATATAATGTTTACCATTTTACAAATGTCAGCTGTTGGCTGTCAATGTGACACATTATTAAGCACATAGTCGCTGTTGTTAGGTTCGTGTTCGGTGTTACTGTTTGTTCTTTCGTTTGAGATTCGACTGGGAGGAGGAGATCGTGGGGCTGTGTACCAGGAACTCTGCTTGCTTGGAATCTTAGAATGTACATTTCTCCCGTATTTACGTTGTAGTATTAGCATGTTGTAGTGAGTTATGGCAGCTTGTAGGGGTTTGGGGCTCTGTTATTCATATTGCATATTCGTGTAGTTAGGAGCAGAGGTTTATCAATTTACATAATGTCAGTGGTCACATGCAAGAAGTAGACCCCATATATTGTGTCTGGAGGGTTGATTGCGGAGGGTTACAACTAGAGAGATATCAGCTGTTTATTTCTGTTCTGTCCAAGCAGCGTGTGTGTTGCCTGTTTTCTGTTGAGTGTTACTCGTCTTGTTTACGACTCAGAGCCTCTAATTATTGATTATCAGGTCACGAGACACGTCAATCTCATCTCAACTCCTCATTGGCTAATCGTCATCATGTGACTCCGATCCTGAGTACTGATTGGTTGAAATCCGGCTTAGCACCGTGCAATGATGTCAGAGGACAGGCAATCTGATTTTCATTTGTCAGAGTTGCCATTCTGAGATATGCCGGGACCGATTGATTAGATCTTGTTAGTGAGACTTGTTGGGCTGGAACTACATTAGACATCACTTACTGCTAATATTTAGACTCCAATCGACATATGTACATGAAATGGATATCGATTTTAGGATTATTTGCCGGCTACCAGAAATGTCATTAAATACCAGGCAATCTGCCAACTAAAAACCGAACTCCTGCTGATGTCTCCAAAACTTAAATACCAAACTATCGGAGATCTACCACCAAACCCGATGAAGCCCGATGTAATTCTATATTTATTGATGTACACTGTACTGATGCTACCTCGTTGTGCCACCTAGAGGACTCTATGTGTCCTAATGTGTCCTAACATGTCGTGACGTACCCTTCTAGATCTGCATCCTAATTCAAGTGATTTCGTGTTTATTCGGGAATCAATTATTTCTTTACTTGATAATTATTTGTCCTCGAGATTATGAATTTTATTATAATCACATAGCATGGCATGATACGAATGATTATTTGGAATTAAATTTTACTGATTATCATGATTTTATGGAGCATAATTGAGGATTAAATTCCGAGTGGAATGATTAACAAGTCCTAATGTTTACCTTTTCAGATGCATTTCCCATTACAAGTGAAGCCAGCAGATAGCGAAACCAGACCAGGTACAGCACAATTTTTAACTGTTTCATTGTCTCAATGTCAAACTGAAAATGCTAGTGTCACACTGTCAAAACGAAAATGCAAGTGCCCGTGCAATGTTAACGGCATGAAATGTAAGACGCGATTGTAAATTTGTAGTGCCCCAACCATTCGCATTATCCACTGCAGTGATTTGTGCGGCGCGCGTCCTTTTATTTGGACGCGCATCATATTCAGTCGTTTGGTGGTCCGCACGCCGCACAGTCGATTGTAGCTCTAAAATGTAAAAGAAGCTAAATAAAATTCACGGCCAAGTGAGAGCTTGTCGAACATCATGCAAATCTTCTGAAAATCTTATGGAAATAAAAGAAAATCAAGATTCAAATTGCCAGCCTAAGAAACGAATGTACATAGGCTCATTTTATTTTAAACTAATTAATTAACTTTAATTATTCAATGTGATATGGATGTGGTTAATTGGTTTTTATTTATAGTAATGATTGATGATAACCACATGTAGTCTCGGGGCTCATCTTCTATAAATGCTATGTCCTTGAATTGGTCTTTACTTAGTCGGCCGCATAGGTTGCGGCGGATGTTTGTAAATGTTTGTATCATATCTTTAATTTTTCTTATTTTACATGATGCCACTATAATGTATTAGTATTCGTGCCATCACCACACTATCGCTTTGAACTTTGACTGTAGCTGTCTGACTTCTGCAGTGTAGATGGTTTCCGAGCTACACATACTTTTAGAATATACAATCGTTGATTTTGTCTTCTAGAACCTTCTCAGAGGGCGAGCAATTGCACGTGCATGCGCGTCTGGCGTCAGTGGGACACTTTCGATACATTTATTCAAGTAAATTTGTAGTTTTGGTTCGATTCGACCGTGACCTTGTCACTTGCAGCCTTCATAGATTACATTAAAACCTTAAAATGACTTAACAGCCGTTAAAGAGTCGTTCACATATTATCACTTTTTGGCCAATTTATAACCTAATAAGGATATGTATTGTTTCCGTCAATTAACTTTTGACTCCTATCTTTGGTAATGCTTTCCATCTCTGGCGTCATCTTCTTTTATTTGCACTTCAAACTTCTAAGTTAATATTGTCTCTAATTCGTCTGTTAATGAGTTCGTTAATAAGGTTAAGTTTCGGGCCATGAGGTACTGGTACACCGAGCTCAAATTGGTTTTGGTTTTGAGATGTGAGTAATGGTGTCATCACTTTTATATTCTCACCACAGCCCGAATGGGTTTTTGGACATGACACTGTACTCTTAAGATTGAAGTTCTGTTTTTGTCAACCAACTTTTCTATCTTCGGCAACCCATTATTCTCTTTTATCTTCATTTATCTGTACTTCAATTAATCGATCTCAATTCTTAATATCCGGCTCTGACAGCAGCTCATTTCTAGCTCTTCTCAATGCAGTGTTCTGCATCATTGGTAACTAGGTGGTAACTAGGGTTCTGCATCTTGCAGTGCGCAGTGGACCATGTTAGTTGTTGATCAGTGATGTGTGTGACATGTCCGATGAGGTTTAAACAGGTGCTGCATAATTTATACAGGATAATTTGTAGAGTAATCTGTCCTTCAATCTAAAGTGGCGTCAGGGTGTCTGGTTTCTGCAGCTTATTTTCAGTTAAGTTAAGCTTATTTGTCCTTCCGTTCACTTTGCCTGTTATACTGCCCACCTTTTTATTTGAACTTAAATTTATATTGTAATCTGGTTGGATCTTAATGTTGTCATTTCTTTATCACCCCTGATATGAATAAGTTCACTCTCTGTCAAAACGATATAGACAGCACTATAAGTACAGACAATATACATACTAGTATTGTAGAAGTACACATCTGCGATCATTACTGACAATTATAGAATTATCAGGAGTGAGCAACAATGGCTACCACCGTTTCATGATATGACTACGAGCTGTAATATTCACTAATATAATATATTAATATAATAATATAACTAACTAGAAACCCGCCGCTAGTCGAAAGCTTTGTTCGAGGAAATTTTAAGCATCAGTTATGTTTTAATTTCTCTTCATCATATAGCCCCAAAACGATACTTTTTACCGCATCAAAAAATTTCAATCACAACCAAAGTTATAAATATATATAGGTATATAGCGTCATGAGGGTAAATGTGAGCTAGTTGTGAAATTCTGTTATTTCAATCGAGAATGACAGTCAATTGAATTATTGCCAGGCAATTATAATGTTTAACTGCGCAAAGTTATTTGCGTAATTAGAAAACAACAATATTTTTGTTGATTGTGTGTGCGCGGCGTCATGTCAGCATTGTGTGTAGCTCTAGCGAATTTAGTATCGAAAAAAAAGTATCGATACTTTTTACTGCATCAAAATATTGCAATCACAAACAAAGTTATAAGAAGTCATAGCGTGAGCGTAAATGTGAGCTAGTTTTGAAATTATGACGTATCATACAGCATAACAACGCGCGTTGTTAATCTGTGGTTGCTCGCGCACGTGCATTTTTATCGTTGCTACGCAACAGCGCAGTAAACCTTTGCTTAAATAACGCCATTATTCTAACGATTATTTAACCTCACTTCCGACGTTAATTATAAAAAATCGAAAGCCTAAATCAAAATTCTAAGAATGCTATAGCCTATTCCTATCCTTTTTCTACAACCCTGCTAAAAATGGCGAGGTTTCAACTCCATTTGCGAGCTGGGTTTGGCATCACCAGAGGGTCATTTTGAGGTCGATTTTCGGTGTTTTTTCTTCTATGTCCCCGTTGCCGGGGAAATTTCGTCAAGTTTAAAATATAATATAGATATATATATAACTTAGTCATCCTTTTGAGGGTTTTTGACTTGTACTGTTGGGCATGAATATACAGCAGAGTTGCCATTTTGTTCAATTTGTACGTGATGTACCTTTGCTGCTAGAGCATAAGATTTCAGGCTAATTCTAAAAAAGGTGTGGAAAGTTTGCTGGCCCATAACTTCTGTTAAAAGTTTGAAGTTTTAACTATGAAATTGGACCTTTGAGCTCTCCAGTCTCCACCCCGAAAATTACCGAGTTAAAAAGGTCCCAACAAGCGTGTTGGGCGTGCTCCGGAATGTTATAGCACAATTCACAGCTTTACTGTTTACTCCTTACAGCTGATAAGGGGTTCGTTATTGTTGTCAAATAATTGGGGTGGGACAACCAGTAACACAGCTTCAGTGGACCAAAGTTATGGGCCGGCAAAGTTTGCATTCTTTTTTGACGAATTTTTATGAATCCTGATTCTCGTTTAATTTTATGCGGGGTGATTTTATGGCACCGTCACACCCATTCTAGCACCCTTTTTAAGAATGTCGGAAGATTTTCGGAGTGAAAGAGCGTGTTTTTTCGACTTTAAGTTTAAGGATAATTCAATAAACCGTAATCCGTATGACCATTGACCAACTTAGATTGCATTTCTTGACTTCTATACTTGAGGTATGTAGAATCTGCGTCAAATAATTAGTATAGACTCCATCCAACTGTAACACAAGTCACGTTTGAGGCTGGTAAGTGCAAGCCAGCATATTTACATATTTGAATATTAGATGGGGTTTTAAACTGATAAGCTGATAAAACGCCGTCAAGATCTCTAGCTTTCTGGACGAACTGGTGTTTAAAATTTAACTTATGGCATTCAAATTAAACATGGTAAAAGCAAATTTGTATAAATCTTCATTTAAAAGTATTGTCCATTTTTAACGAACTTGATGAAAGCCACTTCTGGTATCTTCTCTGAAGAATAATCTTTCCCAAAGAAAGTAGAAAGTCTTATCGAAATTTTAATTGGAAAGTTCTGATTATAGACCAAAAATAAGTCTTAGGCCCGGGCCCCGGTATTGATAACGTTCGCATATTCCTAATATCACATAGCTTCCAGAAAACATTATATATACATTATACACCTTCGGTATGTTGGTGCACACAGCGATATATGGCAGCTTTTCGTCAGAATCGTCAGAATAAATGAGGTCATACAATCTCAAATAAATGCTGCCATCTAATATTGCATAAGCTAATCTATATCCTAATTGAAAATGTATTAAATCTATTGCTAAGTTGTCATAACTATTTTACGTAATGCTGCCTGGGGTGACATCCCTCCAGCTTAACCAAAAAGTGGTCTTGCTGCGTCAATATATTATAGACTATACAGACTACAGCTCAATATATAGACTCTACAGACTACAGCGCTCTATATTGAAGAAAACCTAATTGCTAGCCTCAAGTTTAACCTGCGGATATGATAAGAACCTATTAGTAACACGCTTATTGTTTTCACAAACAACACCAAATTTAAAACATTCCCACTCCGTCTCTCCAACCAAGAACCTTGTAAAATATTTGGATTTTAAAAATAATTCTGTTTAATAAGGACGGCTATGATAAATATATACTACGGTAGGTCAATGTGCACAAGGTATGGCTTTACGCTTGTCAACGCGACCAGGACACTATAATCCCCTGTCTTATTATTCTCTCAGCTACATGTTTATACACCGGCCATTTTCTCTTCTGTCCTCCTTTCCGCCACCGTTATAATGTCATGTTGTCACTAAGTTTTCCCTTGTTGCTTATTACTAAACTTTGGAATTTTTGTTTATTGTTCCGTGTGATGTTGCATTTGCTGTTTACTCTTGAGGCTAGTTACTTTGATAACCGGGCTTGAAATTATTCGGATAATTTTAATTTATATTACTTTTGAAAAGTTTTAGAACGTTTCTTGTTGTCACTTGTCATCCCTAAATGTTGACTCCACGTGCCACCACTCATATAAATGTGTTCATCTCTAATTTAATGTTGCTTTCTTATCATACCATTCTCTTATCTCTTATCCTTCCTTTTTCCGGTGCCACAACAACTGAAGTATCACCGTGTTATATTATTGGAGATAAGTCTGGTGTTATCATAAAATCTCACTTCACACACACCTGTCGGCCCTTATCTACAGGACGGCATTGTACCCCGCCCACCTCTCCACCCTCCCTGAAATCAGTTCTGTGATAACCTCACGACTGGACAGGCTCTTGGCACGTGCTCTGATATGAGTTGCACGTGATCTGATATGAGTTGCACGTGCTACGAGGTGGATATGAGGTGCTGGAATTAGGTGTTACAATCAGGGCAGTGATACATCTTTGATGAAAACCGAGTCTCAGCCAGAGAGAGGTTTAAAAAGTGCGATAATGGGCTGTCTCATAGCTTGATATAGACCTCCGGGGTGAGAGTGGGAATAAGGTTTGTAACGCCCCTCTCCTCCTCCTCCTCCTCCTCCTCATCCTCCTCCTCCTCCTCCTCCTCCTTCTCCTCCTCCTCCTCCTCCTCCTCCTCCTCCTCCTCCTCCTCCTCCTCCTCCTCCTCCTCCTCCTCCTCCTCCTCCTCCTCCTCCTCCTCCTCCTCCTCCTCCTCCTCCTCCTCCTCCTCCTCCTCCTCCTCCTCCTCCCCCTCCTCCTATCCTGTTATCATATCTTCTAACAGGATGCCAACACACCATACTCCTAAGTCCGGTTTCTGATACTGGTAATCCTCACGTGAAATATCCAGATCTCCTACCACATTACTTTCTGGTTGTGATATTTTATCAGCATTTGATCGGTCTGTGGATAAACGTGACGATAAAGATTGTCGTATGAATTATGATCGACACCAACTTTTTAAGATATGATGTTATTCGCATATCAAGCTGATAATTAATTATCTTGGACCTTGATTTCTTAAGATTTTGAGCGGGCCAGCTTTGATTCGGTTAATCGTATGACGTGAGGAGCTGTCAGAATGGGTTATCAGGGGCGGTGATAAGGAGATGTTGTCTTGTGAATCAGATTACACTTCCAGTCACGTGGGTGTGCCCACGTGTTTTGATTGGCCGAAGAAAGTCACGTGGGCGCGTCTCTGGTGTTTGATTGGAGCACGAGGGGTTTAATGTTTTGCCGAAAAACAGATGCATAATTTTGGTGGAAGTTTAATGACGCATTCAATGCCCAATATGGACTGCTCTGAACTTAATATAAATGTTGACCTGACCTTGTATGCACTCCAATTAGTTATCTTTATCAAGAAAAACCAGAACGAGCTGTATTTGAAATCAGTCGTCCACCAGGGGAAGCTAAACATTACATCATCATGTGAAGCCCTGCATTTTTGAGAATAATTTTGGTGCTATCTGATAACCTAATTCTGGCACAACCTCTGCCATACCCCGGCTGGCATACCTCAAGGACTCCCTAATATTATCTTGCTTGGCCTAGAATCCGACCTCCTGGATTGAAAAGATTATCCAAACTCTGAGAGTTTAAATTTCCTTCAACACGAGGACTTGCAACAAACCCGAGAGTAATGATCGCTCTCAGTCTGGCTAATGTTTACAGGGATTCAAACAATGCCTTGCACTAAATTTAGAGAATTCGACTGCAGACTGAGCTCTAAAATTAACCACTTTGCGGGAGTTAGTGTCAATAGATGCTCGTCAGACCACGGACGGCCTTACAAACCCACGTCAACAGGGCTGTTTCCTCCTCCCTCCACCGGCCTGTTTCCTCCTCCTCCTCCCAACAACTATAACCTGGCCAAACCTGGCCTGCTTCAAGCAAACTGCCCTTCTACCCTGAAGGCTCTTCATCCAGTGCCCTCGTGATTGTACTGACTACAATTGTACTCCAGCTCCCCAGATAGGACGCAGCTCTCCCCCCTCTAACCGTGTACTTTACATGATGATCCACTGTAATCTGTACTCTTCAGACTCTCTTTAAACCGTCCTCTCTCGTTCCCGCATCCTCTCCACCAACGCTCACATTACGCTAGATAAACTTGCTGTTGCCATGACTACCCACCAAATTAGAGATAAATTTCCTAGGTAATTAGAGGATGTGAGGCAACCAATGGCTCGAGTGCTGTACTGCGTTGTACTTATTAGCTAAGGGGAGGCTCCTACTACTTCCGTCATCCTCGGAGTAGAATAGTTAAACTAGTCCTAGGCTGGGCAGGCACAGAGAGAGAGATATATATTCCTTTTCCTTTGTCTACTTGCAATCAGTGTCCCGTGTAATCCTGTTCTGTGGAGGTAGTGTTTTATGTGCTGGAATGAAGAGTATCGGGGATCCGGTCCTGGGTTCTCCTATCTTAGGTAGGTCTCTTCTTTTTACCAACACCTAGCCCCCTATCTCTAGTGCGCGAGAGCTGTCCCCCACTCTAGTGCGCGAGAGCTGTCCCCCACTCTAGTGCGCGAGAGCTGTCCCCCACTCTAGTGCGCGAGAGCTGTCCCCCCACTCGAGAAACACAGGAGGTGCTGTGGTCCAGCGCCGCCAGGACCTTTTGTTTTTACTGCTGCGCCAATTGGCGAAATCTGCGCTAGCATTCTTTTTTTGAACTCCGGTGTACTGTTTCTTCTAGACGTTTCCTAAGAAAAATGTCACCTGTTTTGTGTTGCATTGGTGGCTTCTCCTTCAAATTGTTAAATGTTAATGTCTGTCAGACGTCAGTACATGTCATGCACATCCACTTTCAACCGCTTGTATGTATCACTATTCAATAACTCATTTCATCGCATCACAATTAATGATGACATCAACTTATAAGTTATAATAGTCTGAAGTACAATAACTGTTGCATTCAAATTCTATGGTAAAATCAGATCGGTTATGGCTTCCGCTACTTTTATTTATTTATTTATTTTTTCATGGTTATATTTCCTTGAGAAAATTTCATCTGTTCTTAAACTTTTATTGTTTATTCTATCTTTTAAATCATTCACTAATTATCAATCCTGGCGTGTTTACCAAATTCTTCGTGTGTCTTACTTGGTACTACATTTACATCTTGATTCATGTATTACTTAAAACTCGAGAATGTTATCCTAAAATCTGTAAAAGGTTTCATCTGTCGGGCGGTGATGTACTCAGTATTGAGTGTGGCCAAACATTCATAGGCTGTTAAAATTGTAGTGTGTGAGTTAGAATATGTTTACAGTGAAATAACAATTAAACTTTATAATATCTGAAGCACTATTAGAGGTGCCCAGAAAGCTAATAATTAACCAGAAAACCCCCAGATGGCGGATTGGGCCCAGTTGGTAAGTCGAATCTCGCTTAAAAGCACTCTTTTTGGGTTTTATCTGCTATTTTTCCGCTACTCTTGGCCTCTTGTTAGCCGGCCCCTTTGCTACATTATATTTTTTGCAGCATGGAGTTTTTGGAGTCGTGATTGGCCCAATTGCAACCCTAAGATTCAATATTTAAACTGGATTGATATACAATTGAAGACAAGTATCCCTTCTCAATAATAAGCAATAATTCTACTACTTAGCTTTACTACTATTTAGCAGCCTCACATGCTGAAACTTATTATTGATCCAGATGAGAACACCGAATAAACCAATATTTTATACTCGATTAAACCGCTAAAAAGAATATTACATGTTATTAAACCGCTAAAAACTATATTACATGCGAAAACTATATTATATGCGATTTAACCGCTAAAAATTAGGTGTCCGGGGGAGAAGGCCCCGGGAAGGGAGATAGTCTCCGGCCACGGTGTGTGTGGTGAACATGTGGTATGTATGAACTGTGAGGGTCAGCATGTATTGCAACCTCACCAATATCTCTGTGTTACCGTGTCTGATTATCCGAGTGCGACCTTTCTCGCACGCATTATAAATGTGCGGGGAAATGCGGGGAAACCCTTACAGAAGGATATAATGGTTCAAATAATGACGATGATAATACATGTAATCATATGTTTTATGTGTCATTGATTATCTACATGTTTCGAGCTGTCTCCTTCTCAAGTGTCATTGTGTCTCATTTATTATTCCATTAATCTCTGGGACAGAGCATTCCAGTGTAGTTTTAGAGGGGAACCCATATAACACAGCTGGTAGACGAGGAATGAGTCACATAAAACCCTCGGCACAAATCACGTGATCAATTGGAATTCCTTATCGGGGGGAGGGCCGCGTACAAATTAGATTGTGGTGATGTTATATTTATTGGCTCTAGCTTGTCTTACTTGCTCCCGGTTCTGCTAGGAAGCAAGTTAGCTTAACCAATGGGAGAGCAGAGAAATAGATAAGCAAATGTCACGTGCCACGTACTGGTCCCATGCTCTCGCGGCCGCTTGTTATTCGATACAACGTTATCACAAAGAAACTGATAACGGCAGCAACTTTTCGCTTCGTGTTGAAAGTGATTGAGTTATAAGCACACTCGGCCAGCCAGCAAACTATCGATCCGAGATCCAAACAGAGCAATCAGAACGATGTGCACAACAGCCAATCGATTATGAGTAAATTAGGGCTGCCCGGGAGATTTGAATTTGATCCGGGGGGTTGATGGGGCCGCATAAAAACTAGCTGTTAAACAGTAGGACCCAGTGAGCTGCAGTTCGTTTACCAATTACCAATTGCGTTATCAAACAGTAACCATATGAGGGTCTTATGACGGAGTAGAGTAGCCAACCTTGCCACACTATCAGGGGCCACGTGACCAGTTGCCATGGTCACGGGACCCCAGATGCACGTGTCACGTGAGCTAACTGCACGTGTCACGTGACCCACAGGGGTTCTTATGGCCGGATTATCAGAGCGGGGAGTCAGTACCTACGAGTAGCTTCGTGTGTCCCACCACCAACCCCTTCTTTTTCTGTGTTATTTGTTTGTGTTTTTGTTTTTTGTTTTTATGTGTACCGTATCTCCTCTCGATACAAACATGTCGTCCTACCCTTACTACATGCCCAGTTCTTACGGAGGTAATCTTCTTCATCTATTGCCATGGTTACTGGTATTGAGACCATGGTAACTAAAGTATTATAACTATCTTTTTATCGTGACATGTGATCCACACGATAAAGTAAACGTCGGCATGATTTGATCCCAGCATTGATCCTCTTGTTAAATCCTTGTAACTTCTCATATTTGACTGTGTATATATATATATATATTGCAATCACATTTATCTTTTTACGTGTCATAAAATTCACAAAAAGCGGTAAATGAACTTGGAAAATGAACTTGGAAAATTTTGTCCATGAAAATGCGGTAGACTGGACATTATAAAATTATAATGCGTAAACAAACTGGGCAAGGAGTTAACTGACTGGTGGGAATATTTCCCCATAAAGTACACTGTACTTACTCCTTCATAAAGCACACCGTACTTACCTTACGTAGCTGCACTTCCAGCGGTCCCATAAATCCGCCTCTTAATTAACCTTGTATAACATATATCAGCTAAACGATAACGGTATATTGCATTAGCCAGCTCCGGATACATTTCATATTGTACACGGGAGAATAATATACAATCTTGTTAAAATTAAGCTACAAGTGGCAGGCCCGCTTAATATATTATAAAGTTCAGTTGGTAGCTTTATCGAATATAGAGTGGCTTCCTTCTCCACTTTTGCTGGGAATGTTACAGTGAAAGTAGTGCTAATTGCTAATTTTAACTATTTTTATTATACTTTAAAAGTTCCACTTCGAAAGTGTCAAGTTTTGCAATCCTCATTTTTGGTTGTTGTTTCAGAAGAAAGAAAACTGTTTATCGGAATGCTCTCAAAAACAATGAAAGAAGATGAGTTACGAGACATGTTCTTACCCTTTGGCTCTATAGAGGAATTGACGATACTAAGGAATCCGGACGGTACAAGCAAAGGTAAGTGTTAAATTGCTCTTTTCTCTTTTGCGGCAGGTGTTTTTTATTGGGTATGTGTTTCTCATTGACTTTTGTGTGCGTTTTTTACGAATTCTTGCTCTACTTTTTCTTGTTCGAATTTTATTCGAATTGTTGCGTGCACGTTTTTATAATTTCCGCCTGATTTTAAAATTTTCTGACGTCTAACTTATAGACTTCATATTTCTCTGGAATTTTCTCCTCTTCGACTTCAGATAGTATTTACATTTTTTCCCCGTACCCACATAATTTCCCTGCAACTGTCGTTGAACTTTTAGGTACTTTTATAATTTTAAATCTTTTGTGGTTTCGATTAGTCATTCTACACTGAACAGCGTATGCCAATCACCACCTATAGTTTTTACCAGCACAATATCAGAACAGTGGCTCACCTTTAACTTACGTATAGTTCAGTAACTATGCATTTTTTATACCTTTACTTTTAGCATTGCACAAATTGTGTTGCGCCTTGTCGCGGTCAGTTTAGCAAATGTGTTCCGTTAGTTCGCGAGATCGTCAGCCGTGAATCGTGATACGGTATCAGTAGGTGACTGGGTATCACTGAAACCTCCCCGCCTAGACTTCTTTGTAGCTTTATCAAAAGAATTTCATCTGGAAGATTCCTGTTTGATACAGATTCTAATAAGAAGAAGGAGTACAGTAAGTACACAATGAGCCGCGCAATTTCTGGAAATTTGTACCTTGACAGCACACGGCACGCAGTGTTCCGGCCGCACGTCTTAATTTTCCTTATTTTTTTACCGTTTTAAAAAATTCCTTAGATTTGCCTTCCATTGCACACTCCAGTTATCATGATATTTGGGTTTAAGTGAGTTACAAGCTCGTGCAGTATAAACTGCTTTAACCACTGCCAAAGTTCACTTCCATCAGGTCCTCCTCATTAACATGATCTAACGCCATTGTGTTTCTCCGTCAGTGTGTGTGAGCGCTGTTTTCTAATATGATGATTCCGTTAAATATGCCTACTAATTTACCGGTCACTTATTGCCCGAATGTTTTGGTAATAGGATAATTGATCGGCTTGCTGTGTAACCGCAAGTTTGTGAGTTCAGTAACGTTGGTTACCGATGTAAGCTTCAGCCATTAGACCTTTTGCGGGCAACTTATCGTCCACAAACAACATTTTATCTCTACATGACGTATTTTCTCTGTTTCTGTAAATCTTCTAATTTCGACTTCTGGGATTCTTCTAAATGCTTCCGATCACGCATATTATATGCTTGGAATTCTATTGAATATGAATTATTTAAAATAGTTAGAACTGTGGTCAGAGTATTTATCTCTCTCGATGATTTACGTCAAATTTGTGTCAGTTGACTCGGGCGCTTTCGCATTTCTGAAATGAGTCATAATTTGCAGCATACTGTCACGTTAATTAGGAAGGGTATTAAGGTAAATTTGTGAATACTGGTATGTGTAGCCTGAGCTACATTTTAGCAGTTTTGCTTCCTTCCGTTAGTAGTTGTGTGTTATTTATTCTCCGCTTGGGACGGTCCAGATTTATTAGGTCATGTAAGTGTAACTTACAGATACCCTAACTCATAATGCCCTAACTCATAATGCCCTTACAGCGAAAATGGACAAAATTGTAAAAGGCCCCAACTCCAATAATTGCTCCTATTTCTAATAAAATAGTGTTAAGTTTACGACTAGTGATGGACCACGGAGTATGCGCAAAATATTCAGCTTTTAAAAGCACGACCAGTAAAATTTGACCAAACCCTCTTAGTAACTATGTTATAGTAGTAAAGTAGTGTGCTGATCAAGCAGAGTCGCTACATTTCTCATCGCACCCAACCTCATTAATCAACACTGCACGAAAACATACCTCCAGCTAATCCGGCCCCGACTCTCACGTGACGTCACACCATGTGATGTGACGTCACGCCATGTTGTGTGACGTCACCTTACGTGACCTGACGTTTCAGCACGTGACTTGACTATATATTGATATGGCTGCCCAGCAGTTGAATAGCTGTATTTGCAGTTGCTTGCGTGCGTAACGAGCTTCCCAACCCCCCGAGGTGACCTCACGTGACTGTTATCAATCACTGATTGGGCCACTATATCGCAACTCTTACACACACGTTGAGATCCTCATCCCTGATTGGATAATCAAAGTCACGTGGGCGGCTCCTCGGGCTGTGATTGGTCACCAAACACCCCTCGCCGACCACCCAGCGCAGAGGTAGAGCACTACCTTTATTACTCCACGTCTCATTAAAGATTGCATGCCACTATTAATCTATTTGCTGGCCAATCAGTGATCAGCTTACCTCGCTAATCCAATCACAGACGACCAGACCAGGATCCGACCACTGAGAGCAGAGTTTATTTATCGCGTGATGGAGAATGAACATAGTGTACCGAATATTATATTCCCTCCTAATGAGAGACCTTCTGTTGTCCAAGCTGACCTGATCATCACCACGTCTTTTTCCTTGCAATTCTGATGCTATCTCACGTCTTTTTCCTCGCAATTCTGCTGCTATCTCACGTCTTTTTCCTTGATATTCTGCTGCTATCTCACGTCTTTTTCCTCGATATTCTGATGCTATCTCACGTCTTTTTCCTCGCAATTCTGCTGCTATCTCACGTCTTTTTCCTTGATATTCTGCTGCTATCTCACGTCTTTTCCCTCGACATTCTGTGGTTATCTCACGTCTTTTCCCTCGCAATTCTGATGCTATCTCACGTCTTTTTCCTCGCAATTCTGCTGCTATCTCACGTCTTTTTCCTCGCAATTCTGCTGCTATCTCACGTCTTTTTCCTTGATATTCTGCTGCTATCTCACGTCTTTTTCCTTGAAATTCTGCTGCTATCTCACGTCTTTTTCCTCGCAATTCTGATGCTATCTCACGTCTTTTTCCTCGCAATTCTGATGCTATCTCACGTCTTTTTCCTCGATATTCTGCTGCTATCTCACGTCTTTTTCCTCGCAATTCTGATGCTATCTCACGTCTTTTTCCTCGCAATTCTGATGCTATCTCACGTCTTTTTCCTCGATATTCTGATGCTATCTCACGTCTTTTTCCTCGATATTCTGATGCTATCTCACGTCTTTTTCCTTGATATTCTGCTGCTATCTCACGTCTTTTTCCTCGCAATTCTGCTGCTATCTCACGTCTTTTTCCTCGCAATTCTGATGCTATCTCACGTCTTTTTCCTCGATATTCTGCTGCTATCTCACGTCTTTTTCCTCGCAATTCTGATGCTATCTCACGTCTTTTTCCTCGCAATTCTGATGCTATCTCACGTCTTTTTCCTCGATATTCTGATGCTATCTCACGTCTTTTTCCTCGATATTCTGATGCTATCTCATGTCTTTTTCCTTGATATTCTGCTGCTATCTCACGTCTTTTTCCTCGAAATTCTGCTGCTATCTCACGTCTTTTTCCTCGATATTCTGCTGCTATCTCACGTCTTTTTCCTTGAAATTCTGCTGCTATCTCACGTCTTTTTCCTCGCAATTCTGCTGCTATCTCACGTCTTTTTCCTCGATATTCTGATGCTATCTCACGTCTTTTTCCTCGACATTCTGCTGCTATCTCATGTCTTTTTCCTCGCAATTCTGATGCTATCTCACGTCTTTTTCCTTGAAATTCTGCTGCTATCTCACGTCTTTTTCACGTCTTTTTCCTGGACATTACGATGTTACATCAACATTCAACTCTCTTTCCTTGAGTAAAATTGCCCGATTTTCATTACTATAGTCACACGTCCTTTTTTTTGCCATCCAGACACTGTACCAACGTTATCCCCATCTCATTGAGGCAAATCTTTATAAATTCAAGTTCTTTCAAACGGAATATTATGTCCCAAAAATATTATCATAAGATGAAGTTTGAATCGAACAAAGTAAAATTTAAATAATGTTGCATACATATCGGTTGTTATGTATGATATTTAAACTCTTGATTGACAATCTTTAGTCGAGCTAAAGTGAAGCCACCTTTACATCCATCAATATCATGCACTACTTCAAAGCGGTAAGTTTCTTGATTCTGACTAGAGATTTGTGCTGGAAATAGAACTTGTTCGAAATTTTATTTTTAATGAAACACGTCCACCCTTTCAATACCGTTCATTACGCTTGGCGTCCTTCGCCACAGTTTTTCGAAGATCAATTTTTATTTTTTTAGCACTTATTTTATAAAACGTCCTAATTGACCAATAACCTATCGTAAATGACCACTTGCAGATGTCGCGTGCGTTTCGTTAGCTTTGTTTTACCTCACGGGTTTAATTTATACCTGATCTTATGATTATCTTTCCTCGGAATCCATCATTCTGAGAAGGCTCAACTGTAGAGCATCAAATACTTGACGGTCAATCCTCCTCCCTCCATCCACTACAGTACTTTACAACTAATATATAAATCAGTCACTCACAAAATGTCGACGATCTCTCGGTCTAAGTGTGGTAAGATTTACTTGCCTTGCTTTCTGTGTTAGCGATGATCAGCTTGACCGCTCGTTCTTAAATGGGCGATCTCTTGATAAATAGCAAGCATGTTATAGACGTTAACTCATCAAAATTCAACCGTATTTTTCGTATTTCTACATTTCATCTAGTCGTAATCATTTAAGCTTGTAAATGTTGTAGCTGTAGTACAGTTAACTCGTGACACACATAGAAGTCACTGTAATTGGACTCTACAGCTACTCTTGTTAAAGTTATAACAACTATTCACTGCCATTTCCAGCCAGTGAATTTCTTTGATCTGTGTTTGAGTTTTAGTCGAGGACTGGCCACGCTACGTCTCGCATATCAGTTGTATATACTAGAGTCTAGCCACTCCAGAAGAAGAGCACAGTTTATTTCCCGAACAATTAGCTAATTAGCTACTTAAATTTCTAAAACCCACGACCAATTAGCTACTTAAATTTCTAAAACCCACAACCAATTAGCTACTTAACGTTCTAAAACCCACGACCAATTAGCTAATTAACGTTATAAAA